GTGTTTTTAGAAATCGGTAAAAAGGCCAAGGTAAAGGAAGAAAGCTGGTTGGCAAAATGGGGAGGGCTGTGAGGGCGAAGGAATGAAGGGGTGTGTGTACTAGCGAATCATGGGATACTGGGATTGGGGGCAAAAGGGGAAAATCAGGGTCGTCTAATGCGTAGGGGCGACGACACAGACAGAGAGGTAGACAGACGGATGGGGGCGGGGGCCGCTGCGGACGCGCGGATGGGCGTGTGTGTGTGTGTGTGTGTGTGTGTTGCGACGGATTGGGACGGGTGGGGTTTGTGCGCGCAACCGTTTTGGGCGGCATGCAGCTTTTGTTGCTCATCTTGTCTCTGATACCAGATCAGCTCCTGTTTTGGGCTTTACTGGGGGTGTATGCGTTCAAAGGGCTATAGTAAGTAGAAATACGTCTATCCATGAACAACACACGAGTCGTGGTGCCTTTCTTCCCCCTTGTCCCAACAACCCTTGCTCCCTTTAGCCCCTTCTTTCTCTCTCTCTCTCTCTCCTTCTCTCTTTTTTTTCGGTCGCCGAGAAATGATGTGTTGATTATTTGAATATATATGCCGAGAGTGGGGGGGGGCGAGACAGGGGGGTTGTGGGAAATCAAGATCTTCATGACATACTATTATCTTACTAGGGTTGTTATTGCAACGTTATAGGTTAAGGATTATAGTGTTAAGCTTGCAAGTAAAAAAAAAGTATGGCTTTTACACATTTGTCGCGTATTTGCCATGTCCCTCTTTTTTGTTTTCCTTTCGCCTTCTTTTTCGGCGGAAAGTAAAACACGTTCGCTTCCATTATTATTATTTTTTAAAAAGTGTTTGCTTTTTTGCCTACTCCCATCTGCCGTGTATTTCGCTTCGGAGCTTAAGAAGCATGGTGGTTGTTAGAAAAGCGAGACAGCCAAAAAAAAAAGCATGGCCTAAACTAATGCAGGTAGCCCGTTTTGCCGAAAACTCCAGCTGACTATTTGCTTTTTTTCTCCGGGTACTTTGCAAGTGTAGCTAGGCATTTTTTTTCGCCTCGGACATTTTTGTCTTTCGGTAAAAGTTGTACACATGTTATACTTTAGTTTTGACCGATAGAAGGCAAGGCAGCCAAAAACTAGGCTGTTTTCTGTAGGTTACATCCAAAACAGCGACTCATTTTTTCTTTCTTTGCGGTTACTTTACTTTAATTCGCCGAACTGGTTCCCCCCCCTCCCCTTTCGGGTCCCGAGTACAGCTCTACAGACGGAAAGCTGAAAACGGAAATGAAAGGAAAGACGTTTTACCAAAAGCAACATGCCATCAGCCCCTCCCCCGAAAAGCGCCTAACCCTGGGCAAAACATGGCGAAGTGTGAAAAAAAGCAAGTTGCAAAATCCCCACAACCCGGCTCTTCCGCTCAAACTACACATGGCCGAATTCGGCATCCATTTCGGCATAGTGATAGGCAGTCTTTGCTTTTGGCCCCTTTTTTCGTGGTGGTGTTTCCAGTTGCGCGGGTGGGTGTGGGTACTGGGCTTGTATGTAGGTATTTGTGGGGATTTGTAGGTTGAGTAAGATAGGTACGGGGCTGACTGTACTGCGCTTCGTATTCGGAAGTACCTAGGAATCCATTTTTTCTTACTTGCTTTGCTTTCTTGTTTTCCTTGCTTCTAGTATTTGCCTGTGAGGCTTTGCGAAATAATGGACATGCATTGACTATTTTTGCAGTAGAAGAAGGATCGATGCAAGTGTACGAGGCGTCTACTTTTCCTTGCGTTGTTTGAAGCAGTAGTACATTGGAGGTAGTACATTTCAGAATGCAGTCTTCAACTAGTATCATGCAGTCGCATGCAAGGTTCAGTAGTAGGAGGAAATACGAGCACATTTTCTCCATTTCGTCATAACACATCGTTTGGCCCTTGTCTTTTCTTATTTTTTCTCACTCCACGTACCGAGGTGCAAGACCGCGGCGCGCGGGACGACTTGACAGACCGCATGTGCAACATGGATGACGCTACTTGTATTACGCACCTGTCATAACGGCCGAGGCGCGCGTGTGGCCCAGTTCTGCACTTCACAAAGTATGCATAATTAAATATCCACACACCTACGTATCTACGTATCTACTCTTGACTCCCTCCGTCGCGCGCAAGTGGAGATGCACTCTTCGGCCCTTATGTCTACGTACGTAGAGATCTCGATGCCATTAGGCGCCGTCCCCGACTCCGCGTCCTCTCTCGATGCGCATGCAAGATCAAGCCCCTCGATCATCGAATCCGGCGCGCGCTTGCAGGCGCCAAATGGGAATCAGAAAGGAAAAAAAGAGGCTACTATACGAATACGAATGAACGCGTCTGGGTGCCTCGAGTGAAAAGAAAATCGCATACCAAGAGCTGGAACCAGAAAAGATAACAAAATAGAAAAGTCGTTTGACAAAACGTGCCATTACACAAGGTGCAGAGCGAAAAAAAAAGTTGAATTATCGTGCTTCATTCTCCACGCACATACGGCTGGGATAGCCTATTCTTTCTGGATCTACAACACAAAGGTGCCTCTTTGGCTTTGCGCCACAACAGCCAATAAAGCCTGTTGCGCAAAAAACAAAAGTTAAAGGTAAAAAAGCATGTTCTTTCCGAGTTTAGGCGGCTCCCCCGCACACACAGTGGGGTCTAGATGGGCGGTCGAACGCGCAATGTACAATGCACAGTGCGCTGGCAAGAATTGGCCCAGGGAACAATACCGATGGGCAAAACTTCACAATTGCCATGTTCCTGTTGGCTCCTTTTCTCTTCATGTCGTGGTACCTGCGTTGTACTAGCGGCACCCACGTGACTAGCTTTCTATGCTGTGCAACGTAGCATGGGGAGGCCGAAGAGGGGGGGGGGGTTGCGCGCGGAACCGGGCTGACAAGCAGGATTCCTTGGAGCAACAGAATCCCGGCATCTGGATTGTTTGGGCTCTCGGGTGACATGTTGATGGCAGTTTTGGCGCATGCGTGTAACATGGACAAGCTTCTGGACTCCTCTTAGCCACGTACAAAGTCACATTCACATGATTCTCAGAGTGCGCCGAGTAGTCGTGTCACGTGTGGCCGATAAGACACAGATCGCTAGCTGTGGAATTGGCGGCAGAATAGGATCAATCTGAATGGCAGAAATCTCGCAATGGCACCTACGCATTGCATACGCAGTGCGCATTGCTGTTCCATGTAGAAATGACAGTGTTACCCACCCGTCAGTGGTTGACGTGTCCATGCCGCCTTGCACTCCCTGTCAGCCCTGTTCTTCGGTTACCCAGAGAATACCACTCAGTCGCTAACCAGCCGATTTTGCATGAACTGGTCTTGCAAGTGCAACTTACGTCGAGCAGAACACACGACTCGCTATCATGTGGCGAACTGGCCGCAAGATTTGCATTGACAGAATGTACGTCATGCTCATCTCCCGTTGTCACTTAGACGCCGACTGCCATCATACGATACACTGCAAGCGAACACCTCATCCCTCGCTCATCATCCAATATTTTGCCTCATTATTGAGTGAGGCGTAAAACTAGCAATGCCGTAGCTGCTTGTTTCATCCGAAGTGGCTGCTGTAAGTCTGCCGTATGCCGCACTATTGGAACCTCATACCCACCCTACAAAGGGTGGCGAGACCTCCATTCCGCAAACAGTAGTTGCCCGCTACGGGTGATGTTTTGCATTTCCCGAGTCAACTTCCCCGCTTCCGTCTTCAAGTGGCTTTTCAAGCTGTTTAACCGTTGAAACATGGGTCAAGAGAGAAGCGTTGCTGCCCATTACGCCCCCTGATCACCAATCGGTTAGCGAGAGAGAGCATGGTAGATGCTAGAGTGTTCACGACGCTAGGGCCGTGCAAAAAGAAGGGTTGCTGGTCTTTACTAGACATCCCTGTCCCAAACGCCACTCAGGGACGGGCGACGTTGCATCTCGCGAAATTCTGAGATAGTGAGCGCCTCCAGGGTCGTGGCTCTTTCCACAGTGCGCATCGCGCGGCTTCACAACGTGCTGCCGAAACAGGCTTCCCTGTCTGCCTCGGGAGTTCAGAGGATCAATGTTTCAACGATTATCCTTGAGCACCGAGTCAGTCAACATGTCAGTTTCGCCGACAAAGACATGTAGAAAAGCGGGCATGTGCAGACCTGAATCCTACGCACGCGCCCTCAACGCGCGCGCGTTACACGATAGGATCAGAAAGGGTGAAAGCCTCAAGATGCATAGCTGCGCCGCAAGAGGAGGCAGCCCCGGCCATCACGGTCATCACGGCCTCCGCGCAACTGCTGCCCAACCGGATACCAATGCCTTGAAACAATATGACCACACCATTAGGCTCTCCAGGCACGACTTGTCAGGTACAGCTGTGCTGTAACCCCGGCGAGAGCGATAGGCAATTGTCGATTAAGCCCTGTACTTAGGCGCATGCGGGGTAGTCTTTCGAAACAGAGCTATACAGCCCACCGTGCCTTCAGCCAAAACAGGTTGTAGCAATTGCATATTTGGAACCTGATCGGGAGTCGGAAGTACATGTGTTTGAACTTGAAACCGCTTGGACTCGCTAGAAATAGTCGAGAAAAGACTGGTGGCAACATAAATGCTCCGCGGCGAGCAATGGTTCACGATAGCACCGCGAACCAGACCCGCTATCGAATACATGTCGTGCTGTGGGGCTTCAATGCAAGGAGGGGTGGGACTGCGACAAGCCAGCTTTGGCACATGAATTTACATTCAAAGTAGGCAGGCTGGTCCGATTGAACAAAGGCATAGCGGAAGCTGTCTCTATTGCCATCGTATCGCACCGTATCGTTTGCCGTCCAATATCGATTTCTTAGGGCTGCCGGTTGTATGCGATTGATTTATCCCCGCGCAGTTGTCGACCTGACACGGACCGTCGCGCTCCCCGAGCGGCTGAGATGTGGGCTGTCCAAGCGCTGTTCATACACGTGCACTAGACTGCTGTTCCCCTGCTACATGACGATATTTCCTAGCATCCGCTTCGCAGCAGACGTAATGGAGGGTGACTTTTCTCGAGACTGGTTCGAGTTTAGGGTAATACTGTGGGGTATCTCGTAGTACACTTCTCGTAGTTTCCGTTCGGCAATAGCCTGAATAGTCAGGTGGTCGCCGCTGCATGCAGGCAGCCCGCTGTTTGGACGCCATGTGCCTCAACAATTTTTTGCGGATGAATTTTTTGATTGGCCGAACCCCCTCTTTACAAGGAGCAGCGGTGTATTTACTACGTCTCACTACGGGATGTGCGGTGAGTTGGTAATACATGACAGTACATCATGTAGTTGCGGTGGTCGCTGTTGTTGCGGCCATACGAGGAAAAACCTGCAGAGGAAGCATGTATGCGACCAGGAACCCAAGTCATGAATCTAGCAGTCACCTGAACAAGGTAGAAGCAGTGACAAGCGCGCGACGGGCCGCGCCCAGCGGTTCGCGCACACTGAGCGGTGAGACTTTGTTCAGCGCCTAGCAACAGAAGAGCGGGTCTCCAACTTCAGTTGCGAATTCATGACGGTGCAAATGCCATCATCTCAGCTGATACGCTCTTCCAAAAGATCCTTTACGCTTTGTTCTCCTAATTCCGGGAACAGACGCAGGACAATCAATTCCACAATCTGGAAAATCAGGTGCTTGTTGAGGTACGTGTCATCGAGGCAGCCTAGAACGTCTTCGATTTGCTGAGTCTGAGCCTCGCGCTCATCGCTCGCAAAGAAAGTTGCTGCTACCTTAGCTGGGACTAGATTGAGGAGTGTAGCGGCACAGCAGTGCTTGATCGTCTTGATCTCTTCGTCCGTTGGCATTTGGCGTGGGGGCCCAAGCGTATTATTGGGGAAAATGGTTGCACGAAAGGTGCGAAGCGCCACTGGGAGGAAAGCGGGGTTTAGGATCCTGGTGTGTATAGTGTGGGAGAGAAATCTGCAGATGCTCGTGGTTAGTGTCCGCAATACAATGGAGACGTATGAAGGCAATTGGTGCGGAAACAGGACAAATGTGTGTATGGCGGCCTCGATGGACAACCTAGGCCGCGGGACAGGTAGCTGGTGGTTGAACATGACGGAGACCAGGGCGCATAGGGCCAATGGGTCGAGGGACGGTGGAGAGGGATATTGATGTGGTTCACAAAGTGAGGCGAATGCCCATGTCAAGCGAAATTGACTGGTTGTACAAAGAGCGCAACTCGAGGAGTCGCAGTCAGCGCAAGCCGCACCCAAAAGGTCGGGTTCTGGGCTATTCGTCGAATGCCTCGATGCATCGAGCGAGCGAAGCGCATGCTTGCCAGTACGGCAAGACAATGGCAGTGGAGTTGCAGGCCGCTAAGATGCAAAGACGGAATGTCGAGGCCATGTCAGCTGGCGCCGGCCATGGTGGCATGGTCGGGATCTTTTTTGGCCAATGCCGGAACCCAAACTCAGTACGGGCAGGCGTGAGGAGAACGATCGGTGAGACGGCCTAGGGTCTGCAGACCCTTTGTAGGCTCCCATGTTGTCCTGTTGGCTGACGGAAAGTCGCGCTGCAGACTTGTCTGGGCCCCATTTGCAAGCATCGTGCGTTGCGTGGTGGTGTTTGGCAAAAGTGAGGGGCCAAAAGCGCCAAGTCGCCATGTCCAAAACGTGTCGAGTTGCCGCCCGGAACGGGTGCTGAGGCTTGCATGAGACGATGCGCCACGACAGGGATACTCCAGTGTGTGAGTCTGCGGGCCGTCGCATTCGCTGAAGCCAAGTCAAGTGACCGAAATCGCATGCGGAGCTATCTCGCCCTGTGTCGCACGGACCAGCATCACCCCCAACCACTGGCCAACCACGGCATCCAGAGGAAAAAGAAGATATTATCGTAACTCACCTGTCCAATACACCATCCGTCTCACCCACCCTGCCTGGACCGACCAAGGCTCCACGATGGAGCATTGAAGTGAAACCTGACAGCCAAGGCATGCGGCTATCTAATTCAACAACCTGTGCTGCACAGCTCCACAGCGCCATACTCACTACGGGCCGTTTGGCACCCAACGGGCGCCTTGACGTCGTCGTTTCTGTTTGCGGCATTTGTAATTGGCCGAGCGCTTGGCCCGATGACTGCTCGCTTGTGACATATCTCGACGGGAGAGACGATGATGTCGCAATACACAAGATCACTGCGCGCGCCGCAGTAAACGCCATGAATGCATATTGGACAACAGCCCAGAAGAGTCCCGCCGTCGATGCTAGCGGATGCTTAGGGCGCTGCTCTTCAGCGTCCAATCGCTCTGTCGATCTGACTTCCGTCCCTTCATGCGGCAAAAGCCCGTAGCGTTCCAGACGGGTCAGTGATTGCTCTCCATTAGAAACTTCTGATTGGGAGTCCTTCTCTTTCGTAGCGTCCGTCTGTAGCACTTCAGCTATTCTTGTAATACCCTCCCATAATACCCAGCCTTCGCAGGCTTTCCCGCTAATACCGTTTCCGAGGATCATTTCCGCAAAGATCTCGGCAACTAGTGCGCGAAGACAACCATTCTCTAGGTCCTCAGTGGGTAGAAGTAGAGCCAATACGCCGTGAACAAGCAGTTGACGCCATGCTGATTCGCTTTCCCGCTGTTCAACAACTGATGCCGGAATCATATCCGTTGGAACAGGCGAGAGTGCAGGGTGTGGGTGGAGCGTATGATAGATTGTACGCGGGTCTGATATTAGTGAATCGTACGAGGTGGCTTGTCGCTTCGCTATGCGAAAAGCTAGCCACAGAGTGTCAGACACACTTCATGCAATAGTCCAGGATCGGAATCACCTACACCTTAGATGGGACTCAAGTAACTCAGGGATCTCGTCTAGCAACAGTGATTCCAAATCGACTTTTCGTAGGCGCTGCTCAAGTCCTCTGGTACAATGAGCGATGATCTGAATCACTTCATTGACAAATACTTGGTCTGGAGTGATCTTTGAGTACCACGTCTGTACAAACTCCTTGATGATCACAGAAATGACCCCATATAACTGGAGATCGACGGCATTTGAACTTGTCAAGGGAGGTAACACGTCTTCAATCGGTCGCGGTGTACTGCGTCCTTTCTCGCCGTTGCCAAGTAGCACATTGTGGGAGCACAGCGTGCGTCGAATAAATGCTGCAGTCGCTTTGTCCGAGGTAGGATCTAGACGGAGCTTCTGAGAATCAGCTAGTCGATTTGGGCTTGTAGCACGAGGATGATTATGGAGGTTGTTCCCTGTAGTTCCTGGAGTAGATGGTGCTGAGGCCCGAAGACCTGGTGGCTGCGAAAGAGGGACATCGGGATCCCGGATCATGCTCTCCGCCATCGCAGGAGAATTCTCATTATTGCCTACACTCAGCAACTCTTTGAACACGTGACGAAGGTCTGCTGTGCGGTCGAGGTGAAGGTCGTTGTTGAAAGGTGAATGTAAAGTGAGCTATGACGCCAGTTGATCATCAAGGCTGGTAAGTCTAGCCGAAGCTTGGCACCTCCAACCTATGTGTCACGTTGTCACGTTGTCACGCGCCAACGCTCCTTCACAAACTTCACGGTCAACATCAACATGACAACCCCAAATTCAGATGGTAGGTGGCTAGGCAAACTATTAGTTCACTGTTCTCATGCTCTTCTTAGCTGTGATTGTCGAGGTCGAAGCCCAACTGAAAGACATTGTTCAAAACCTCTACAATCTTATAGTACAAGCGTATGATCACCATGGCAACACGACACAAGAGGCTATGAAGCGTGAGATGTGCGTGAATAGTTCTGCAACTTGAACGGCTGTGTGGCTGACGCGTATACAGCCAATCTCTGGTGCAAAACTTAGTAAAGTTATCGAGGACTGCACCTTCTGTACACATCGATATACCACCTGAGGTCATGTCATATGTCGAGAACTCCAGGAACCCTGACATTTTCACTCGCGAGTTTGTGGAAACTGTGCAGCGGATGAATCAGATGCTGAACGGCCGCATCGATGCATACCGGATGTTGCAAGAGCAATTAGCCTGGCAAGTCTCGAATGCTATCCCAGAGCTCAAAGAAGACGTTACCTCTGTGGTGGAATCTACTGGCGGGAAATTGCCAGCGTAGATGTCTCTGCTTCACATTCATCATTACCGGAACTATTACCTGGAGTCCAGATCATCGTGGAACTCGACCGACATTATAAACTCGTCCCGTGTTGCATGCATAGCCGGCCGATCAACTGTCAGCAGATCCTCGATAAAGTCACATATTATATCCCTATGACCGCATGATGAATTGGGGAACTGTTCTTGGTGATAATCCATACACCACGATAGAAGAATAGGTTTTGCTTCCGCAATGCCGCGCAATGATCCGCTAAAAAAGTACTACGGCATTCAAGGATATTCTTCCAATAGGATAAAATGCATTTTCGGACCGTATTCTGAGGAATATAAAACTTGTGGTTTTTCGTGAAAGAGGGGTTCTAATAAGGTTTGCGGGATTTCTCGTTCAATCTTGAGAAAATGCCTATATGCTAGCATTAATGAGCAAAACAAGCAGTAGACATAGTTTCAATCTGGACTTTCTATACACCTTACCCTCTGTTTGCGCCCCGAGTCATGTCATTTGAGGGTTCTCCCCTTGCCCTTGTCGGCAAAGCAGGGTATGTAGTTAGACCCTGTGACCATGACGACAGAGAACGATACGACTCGTTCTCCTTACAGATGTGACTCGCCGTTAGGCCGTTGTCCCAGTGTATACATGTCAAGATGCTCCAGGGTACGATCCTTCTCGACTCCCAGTCATAACAACGAATCAGTGTCCATATTGCATGATTTCCCCCTAAGGCGAGTAAGTAAGTATCGCGAGAGAACTCGACTCGAAAGTGAAGTGAGAGCCGATGCCCCTGTTACGGGAACTCCGGCCGCGTCGTGTTGTGGCTTTCGGTCCGAAGCGCATATGTCATACATAACTGAAAGTTTCACAAGGCCGGTATTACGCCGTGCGCAAGTCTTGTCCCCACTGATCAGCTATGAAACGGACTCAGGCTTGCGCGTTTTAATGTCTGGCCTAACCAATGTAACAGTAAGCAAAGTTTTCGTCTTTTGAACTATATGCCTCGGAGTCGGAGACGAGATTGCCCCGTAGATCCATCGGTCCCCAGACTTCGAGACGAGGAGCATGTTGGACAGAGCGCTCTAGATCTATCGACTTTACCCCAGATATTGAGTGTCTCGTGTCATTTAGCTTTTGAGCAATATGACTGCATCTTATGATATTATTATTCCATATCCGTCGACATAACTCAGCATGTTGTTCGGGCGACAAATTTTGTATGAGATATTAATGCCTGTGACTGAATGTAGGCACATCATCATTCATTGTGAGCATTAACAAAGCCAGTGAAGGGCGTATATACGGAATATCCTTGGTTTTGATCGTGAGCAGTCTTACAACTGTGCAGGGATTGAGATATAGGAATATGTGACAACAGGGAGACAAGGGGGAATACGGAACCTTGCTCCCGAATAGCGATACCAAAGTTTTTGAATCCCTCATGGCCGGTGTCGGAAGCCGATATTCTCATCGCCTTTATGAATAATCGTATGATATGTCCTTCCAAATCAACACGCACGCGTGACTTCATTGCAAGCATCATGCTCGCGCCCAATTCATAGATCCAGGAATGAAACTACGATAGGTTTTCCTAGGATGATGTAACAAATCGCCGAAACTTGGAGTCAGAAGGCTGCATTGAGCCAGAGCTTGATAATAACTTGTAAAAAAGACCGAGATTATTGAAAGTTTGACTATAGCTTACTGGGAGCAGAATATTGTCGTTGAACGGCAGTCTTTAGGAATGTTAGCAAGAGTGTAAAGTCTGTTCCCGGTTCTTGAAGTTATGACGTTAGTCGTTGAGCTCGGGGACTATATGGAGAGCGAATGAAGAGCAGCTCGGCAGGTTGAAAAATTATTCTGAGTAACGGATGCCAATCCAGCTTAGTCTTCAATAAGAGTTAGCATAACAGAACACGCCATCCACGGTACTAAACTTTGCGGGAACATAGCATTATACTACGAGATGTGAGAAGACTTCCAGCTGAGCAACAGCATCGGATAATTTGAGAAAGGTCTGGTAAATCATCAATTCAGACGAATTCTTGCCAAATCATGAAAACACGATGCAAGCTTTAGCAGACGTCATTGTTAGTTGAAAGATTGCATTGCTGTTTACTTCGAAGCAACATATGTGCTTTTGTGACTTCAGTATCTCATTACACAAAGAATAGACACTACAAACACTATCTCAGATACTAGCAATTTGCACTGAGTCCCAATCTCCACATACAAGATATCTAAGTCATCTATCTTAGAGAAACATGTCTGCATACAAGCTAAATACAAGCACGATAGGAAGGAGAAAACAATAAGACAAACCCTGTAGACCGACAGAGGCGTTTCCCACCAAGATTGACAATGTACATGTGCAAGTTTTCGTTGTCATCTTCGCACCTACTTTACCGTCTCTCAAAATAGGCCAGGAAACATTATCTTCTCTCCCGTTCAACAGCATCCATGTATAATCCCAAGAGTGGAAGTCCCGTAATCAGAAATCCATACACCTCCTATAATTCAACAAAAGGGGAGAAAGGCAAATATCTAGTACTACATCTATGAACAGTCACCAACGAAAGCCACAAAACCACGGTCCTAACTCAGATATCCCACACGCTACAAAAACTGTTCAGACAGCACCTAGCAGTCTCTTTCACAACAGGAATCTCAAAGATAAAGACAATGTCAAACAAACATAATCCCGCAAGTCTCTCAACACATTCACGCTATATACACTCTTCTCAGTGAATTCCAACCAAGCCAAAAACCCAGAACCAGACGTAAACCCCCTTATTCAACTCCCCATCAAAACGCTAAATCCCATACTTTTACTCGTACTTTGCACAAAGATTTTTCTCAAGGGGTAAGATTTGTCAACTGGTATGTAACAACGCCAGGCTTTTGAGCAAGAAGCTTGTCATGATAACGGATAGAGAAGAGATAATAGAAATGTTTCTAACATAGACGTTCTTGTTACTAAACATTTCCCAAACAAAACAAAGAGCAGCAGTACTTGTTCCTCATTCTTAGCATTCGTACTTGCAAACTCGGCGAAAAGTGATGAAGAAAAAACAAAGTCGAATAGGAAAATTCCCTAATCCGTCATTAATACTAGTTAACTTCCATCACCAGTTAAAAGAGTCATTCTCGTTCAATCCGCAGAAACCGAAAAAGATAAATCACAAACTAAGCCTCAGGATGCCATTTTTGCTTTCTTAAACTAGCCTCGAGTTCCTGACATACGATATGATAGAAAACTCCACACCACGCCAATCTAGTTCTAACACTCCCTCCCTCAGATGCAAGATGCAAAGAAAAGCCCCAGCCCAATCCAATCGGATCCAATCCAATCCAAACCAGGAAAAAAAAAGAGAAAAGAAACCCTCCCCCTACCCTTCCTCTAGCTTTCACCCCTCAATATCTTTTTTCTCCTCTCTCTTCACGGCCCCGGAAACCCAATCTCCTCCCTCTTATCATCCACCACGCGCCCATACTCCAACAACAGCCTAAAAAACCACGCTTCAAAATCCACATTTCTGAGCACTTTATCATGCCACTCTGTACTCCTCTTCGCAATCCGCCTTGCCCTCTTCTCACCCTCACTATCTCCATTTCCCCCAGCTTTCCCACCATCGGCATCGCTATGATCTAGTTTCCCATCTCCGTCTTTATCAAACACTTTGGTGCCGCTGAACCAGCGGACAAGGTCGAGATGCTCGTCGCCGCGGAGACTGAGGGGGATGTAGTGGACCCATGGTTTGAGCCATTCGGCGTGCCATTCGCGGAAGAGGGCCATTTTGTACGTGAGACTTTTGCTTTTGAGGAAGCTGTAGAAGCGGCCGGAGAAGGCGTTGCCGTCCATGTCCAGGAGGTGCTTGTAGTACCATGCGTCTTGGCCATCAACGCGTTCAGTTACTTTGAAGAACTCTTGTTGGGCGTCGCAGTCACCGGGGTCGCACTGGCCGATGTGGGAGAACTGCACATCTATGAGGTTCTTCAGCGCTCTGCGGTCGACCTCGGCAATGGTATAGTTAGTTATGGTGTCACCAGCCTTGGACGGGCCGCGAACTGGCTCAAGGATTTGAGCTGTATCGGGTGCATTGAGGCGTCGGACAACATGCTGGCGATGTTGGCGCCTCCAGCCACCATTACGACTGAAACCTCCTGTTGTAGAGCCGCGCCAGTAAAGACTATTTGTCTTGTTTTCCCATGCTGTGTCGCGCGTTTCGTCATATCCCACCTTGCCCATCCAATACCACGGACTCGGATACAAAATGTCCTGGAAGCTGGAAATCTTGGACTGTGAGAATACAGGTGTAAGCTCGTGAATGATATTGAAAGCGTTGGGTCGTTCGAAGAATCCATACGTCGAAGAAAGCGACGGAGAGTTGCAAATGTCGGAGAAGGCAGTCGTATTGTAAACGAAGCCTAGATCACTGGCGGCATAGACCTTGCGGTTGTCGGCAGCATCATCTTCAAACGTTTGGGCCTGTGAGTTGGCAGGGCACGATAATCTCGAATGAGTCCAAGTCTGCTGATGTGCGAAGCGATTAAACTTAGTCGTGCTGCTCTCAACAAATCGAGTGCCATCATTTAGATCCGCTGGATGAGCAGAAAACCCATTGCGAGGAGCAACATTCTTCGCAGAACGTGGAAGAACTTCGTTTCTTGCCTTGGCCACCATCGAAGAAAGAAGGTTATTGGGGACCACAACTCGTGGTTCGTCGTGCAAGTTGAAGCCTAGGTCCATGTCGGGCAGGTATTGTACGAATTGCTTCATCATGCCAATGGTCGCCTGCTGCTGCCATTCCTCGCCATTCTGGTAGTTCTCTACTGCCCCATGTCTTATTGCAACAGCCAACAGTGAACTATCCTCATGACCGAGGGCGTTCGCAACGCGCGACCGAATCGTTGCTGGCTTCAGTGCCCAGAACGGTAGCAGCATCTCATTGATCATGTCATATTCGTCCACCATTACAACACCATTCCGTGTAGCAAATTCGTACCATTTATCGAAATGTGGAGGCGGCGGTATCCCGTACCTACGGCGGTATTCAGCCACAGCCTCAGTGAGAGATTTTGACTGTCGATTGAGAAGTTTTTGGAAGTCCGCTTCAGCCGCATCCATCAACTGGGCAGCTGGATGCCCTTTACTCATGTCTACCGGGATTGGATTCAGCGATGGGCCGGAAACAACATCAGATGGAACAAAAAACCCGTCAGATCTGACTGGCTTTGCTCGTGATGCATTATAGCGTCCTACAAGCAGCCCCCCAACCGCAATAGCTGTGGCAAGAAAAGTGATAATTCTCAGTCCCCTAAAACGTCGCATTTCACCCGTCTCACGAAAGCGCTTCTCTGAGAGATAGACCAAGGCAGTTGAATCGAAAATAACCATGAAAATTATGAAGGAGGAGGACGGCGCGGTGAGCATTTTCGTGCCAAGAAGCGAGAATACGGTTACTAGAGTTAGGTGTCCAGCGCCTATTAGGTAGAGCTGCGGGGAGTTAGCTGGTTCAAAAACTCCCTGGATAAGAACTCTAAAGATCTAGCCCTAGATGAAAGACTCGGGGAGGACGTCATACCATGATAAAAGTGAGCAAGTTTAGAAATGCGGTCACAGGCAGCATCCATAAGAAACACTGAAGGATACGGAAGTTGTGCACCTCTCTCCATTCGCGCTTGTAATCCCGGTACACAGGTTCCCATGTAATGTTGCTCGCAGATACCGAGGACTCCATGAGAATGGATGCAATCCCGCACACGACCGCAATGGCCACAGCGACATCTCTCAGCGCCGCCAGCCGTTGTGCCTTTTGAACCCCTGATATCGAAGCGCGGAGATCCAGAGTACCAGTCGTAAGCCTGCGCTTGGTGTCCTCGCCTTCATCCGGTGCTGCGGCCACAATTATGGACCTGAATGTAATAAGACCAACGGCCGCGAAAATGGCGCTACAAAGTCCAAGCATAAAAGTCGTGGGTATGGTGTAGACGCCCAGGGCGCAGCTCGCACAGACGGTCAGCACCAACAAATTCCCAGGCTGATCTATGTGACCTGCTGCATCGGCGGGGAGTTTCTTCTCGGTGGCATGGGAATGGTCGTCCGGGACAGTGTAGGTGGGCAGGGCGAGGCGCTTGGCAAGTAGTTCATTGTCGGCGAAGAAATTGGTGAGGAAGAGCAATAGAGCCTGCAGGGAGTCAATAGCTGCGAGAGGGAATCGTTGTTACACAGGCGGTTACCTTTGTAGCCCAGATGCCATGTTTGTCGCACGCGGCACGGTCGCATACTGCTGATAGAGCCAAGAGTGCGCCAGCCAGCCAGGCAGCCTTCCTCTGCGGCCTGCTGCTGTTGGAGTATATGCCGACCCAGAAGACTGTGGGCACCCATACAATGAGCCAGGAGATTGCCGTCACGAGGAGCGAATGGTGCGTGGGTGTGTAGAGGGCAGCGACAGCCGTGAGGACGACGTAGAGCGGTGGCGCGAGCAGGAAGAGGGCGTCACGGTATTTGACGACATGATCGGCAAATGTAGAGAGGGCTGGGTGCATTGGAGCAGAGGGTTAGTCAGCGCTCGTCGGAGGGCATCGAAATGTCTGGTATGCGTCGAGCCGTCGAGGGCATCTTGTTGTTGGTCGACGGCCAGTGAGCGCCGCCGAAGAGGCCGTCGCTGCCGATCTTCAGGGTCGCAGGGTGACGCCATAGCTTCCACCAACCCTCGCCCTTGGCCTGCATCAGCCATCCAGCAGACTAGTGCAGCTCAGTATGATATCTAGATCTGATTTGCTGCATCTATTCAGAGCATTCTACTTCAAGCTGTTTCTCAGGCAGCTTTCGCCATAATAAATCGCCATGAAAAATGCGATACAAGTGCGCACACGACAGGGACTGCATGGCCACGTGTATGGAAGACACAGCAAAGAGCATCCTCACATAGCCCGACATTCACCTTTCAAATCTCTCTAGGGACCATCGTGCAGTCCAGAAAATACCTGCTACTTATTCTGTGTCTGCACCTCTTGCCCGAATATTCATCTCACTTCAGACATACTCTAACAAACAATTTCCCATGCAACAGATGAGACCTTCACAGACACACATATGAGAACAGCTCCAATGAAGTGGAGTATACATCATTTCACATATAAAAAGAGAAAAGACGCCCACTCTCAGTCCTACAGGAGACTCACCAACCCACTATTCATCATTCAGACATCGCAAAACCTCTAAGCCCACCTCCTACACCACACACAACCATCAAGGCGTACCTTCCCCAAACCCTCCCCCCCCCCCATCGTGATCCAAACCGCACCCCACACCTCCAAATCCTCCTCCAAACAAAAAAGGCACAAGATCTTCAAAGGAAAAAAAATCCTCCACCCCCACCCCTATTTAACCATCAACCAACACGCATACCCAAGCGACCAAAAAAAACGTCTGACATCTACCTATCCAGGCGAATCTCCGAAGAACGAAATGACGATCACACCTTCTCCCGTTATCACGTCACCGCAGTAGCAGCCGTAGCAGCAGCGGGAAGGCGGGTAAAAAAAAAGAAGGGGACAGATGACAGGGTTTGATCGTCGTTTCGCCAATCTATTTCCCGTTTATTTGAGTTTAGAGAGGGCCTTTTCGTGTATCATGCGTGTATGAAGGAATAAAAAAACCATGTTATGGACGCGTAACACAACCCGCTCTACTATATACGATCTTCGCCCCTCTCTCTCTCTCTCTCCCCGCCCTCAATTGGGGAGATTTCCCGTTGCGGCCGTTTTTTTACGTATTTCCGTGGCACATTCTTTCCCCCTTTCTAATTTTAAATCTTTTTTTCTTTCTCTTGTCTGAAAGAGGGAGGAGAGTAAGTGTGGGTGGGGTTGGTGGTTTGGGGTATAAAGAGGTCGGTGCCTTCCTTCGCAGTGCTTGACTATTTTCTTCACTTTTTGCTTTTTTTCTTGACATTCGTTTCTAAGGAATGGGTGTTAGACGATGAGTTAGCTAGGTAAGTGACAATCATGTTTGCAACATAGCATTACCCTACCTGCTGGAGATGACGCCAAGGGAGCAATAACCCTAGTGGGTTTGGTCGTCTTCCTGGATTAGGAAAGGTAAGGCACCGCCGCTCTGCCTCGTTTTCGCATTTTCGGCGAGATTGAGCGATGTGAGAATTGTTCAAAAGGGCCCGAACTTTTTCCACTTTCTTCAACTCTTTGGTCTTCTTTCTTTCAGTCTTGCACTCGTCTCCATCACTTTCTCACGCACGCTCAAGTCGTTTTTCTCTTTTTCAACATATTGTGCATTCATTCCTGCTTCCACTCTACACACCCGTTGACCCTCCACATTGTGCTTTGCTGTTTATACAATGCACCTCGCTCTTCTTTCTCCCTCCGTCCCCCCATCTTCCTTTCCCGTCCCGTCCGAATATACAAAAGGTCACGCTAGCCAGCGCACCTCCAACCTCCGTTCTATCTCCCCGTCCAAAAAACAAAAAGCGTGTGCCAGGTTTTATATGTTTCTTGTTTGAAGACAAGCCGAAAGCAAGAAAGAGAAAATAAAGAAAAATACGAGCCAAAAAAAAACGAGGTCAATCCTCGCGCTGATATGGGTACTAGATATTTGAGATGTTGCTAGGCTCTCGACGCAGATGATAAAACAGACGCCAGTTCAGTATTATGCAAAACCTGTACTTCAACCTCAAGGGCATCGACAACTTGGTGTCATTGGCGGATGGGGTATGGTTGAGGGCCCTCTCATCGGTGTCCAGGCTGCGTCTGTTTACTATGCGGAGATAGGTCGCTAAATAACTAAATGTTTCGTTTGTGGTACAGAAGAAAGATAAGGATGCAGCGCACGGACGGGAATGTCGGATAATGAGGCCGGGATGCGGTGAAGGGTGGGTAGGACGTGTGTGTGGACACAGCTACTCTTCCATCCTTCCAAAGATTTCATCGTCGTCCTCGTCAATGCGACTGCGACTGCGCGCGTTGGAGTAACGGTAGTCTTCTTCATCGGCAAAGTGATCGTCGTCCATATCGACGTCTTTGCTTTCACTAGTGTGGCGATAGCTGTTGCGCATACTCGACTGCTGGGCCGTGACGGTAGTGCTACCAGACAGGGTGCGGGCATTCAGGTCAAAATACTTTGCTGGGAGCGGGGGCACGGGTGGCGCGTCTGCGGGCAGGGCGACGGGCCCTGTCTTGGGGGTGCCGTAGGAGCAGCTGAGCAGGCCGACGGCAGCAGCGAGGTCGGCGTGGTCATTAGCATCATCATGGTAGGAGCCGGCTACCGAGGTGCCTGAAGTAGTGGGTCGGTCAGAGACATTACTCCACTGTCGGAAGTGACCGTGCGCGTTACCATTACCGTTGTCGGAGAAGACAGTCGACTGGTAAGATTGGCTGTAGGCAGAGCTGTTGGTAGAGTAACGCTTCATAGAGCGAGTGCCAAAGTGCGAGTGAGGGTAAGAGCCTACGGCATGGTCGTCGAGCTGTGGGGGCGGGGTAGTTTCTGTGGAGCTCAAGTCCTCACGCACGTCGGATGAGCCCGAGGCGGGAGGAGAGGAGCGGTCGCTGTGCTCGCCGTCGCTCTCCTTGTTCATGGCAACGAGGACCGAGGCAGCCTCGAGCAGCTGCACCTGCTGATGCTTGGAGATGAGCAGCTTGGATGTGTACTGCCATTCCGGTGTATGCTCCCATCTAGAATCAAAAAAGTCAACGCAGAACTTGAGAAGAGCAAGGCAGTTTATATGGATATGCGAGTGAAGAAAGGGCATTCGTCATGAGGCATGAAAGTATGTGGCAGGGCCATGGGAGGCTAAGGGTTACTAACAGGTGCTTGGTCAGACAGCTGCTGTGCTTATAGCCTTTGCCGCATTTTTCACATCTCAGTTCGCTACCACTTCGCTTGCCGTCGCCCTTGGACAGGCGAGAGCCCTCGCTCGCGCGACGGTTCCGCGACTTTGCATTTGCCTTGTCCTGCTCCAACATGGTTGCGAGCGTGGGTCCGTCGGTGAGAGCCTCACTCTTGGCAGCACTGCCGTAACTGCTGGCACCGAACTGCGCGCCATGAGCGGGCACACTCGAGGCCATGCTCGAGGCCATTGCCATGCTGGGCCCCCTGAACTGCGATGCGGGTTTGGAGGAGCGGCGCGGACCGCTGCTGCTGCCGCTACTACTGGCGCCCTCGAGCGGAGCCCCGGACATGCCCTTGGCCGCCGCAGCGATGGCAGCGATGTTTGTGACGGGCGTCTGGCTCATGCTTTTCCTGCGCGTTACGCGATGTGCCGGGTGGAGGTTGGCGGCGGATATGGACTGCGAGTGGGTTCGGTTCTTGGGGAGCGAGCCGGCCATGGTGCTGGATGAGTGCCGTTGTTGGCTGGCGGGTCGGACGTTGATGGGTTCCTGGATAGGGGGCAGCCGGTCAGTGCAAGTGCTTAGGGAGCAATGGCAGCGGGAAGCAGTAGAGGTAGGTACCTTGTGTACGGTCATGTTGGGTCCCCCCCCAAAAAAAGTTGCCAGTAGTTTGGTGTTTGCTTTGTTCGTCCGGCTTCGTCAGCAGGGCCGAGCAATTGTCGCACCGTGTCCGAAGTGTCGGGGCTACAATGGGCGATGCGGCTGAAACGGGCTTGTTGAGACAATGCAGGGCAGCGCAGGGAGCCAGTGTGTGGGAATATTTAACAAGAAATGTGTGCGGAAGGCGTGTGCTAGGTGAAGGAGGCGTTTATCCAAAAATACGGCGTGTGGACAGTTCGCGGAATGCTATTCGACAAGTGGGGTGACGCCCGAGCTCCTGATATGGAGTTACTACTGTATCCGACGGGGAGTCTCGATTGCACAGCCTGGGAAATGTGGCCGGGCCTGGTGAATAACAACGCACTGCTGCTTCGCACGACGAGGAGGGCGGGAGCAAGGGGGTGGATTGATTACATGAAGAGGGAGGGGAAAAAATAAGGGATGTCAGACTGTCACAGCAATTCCAGACGCAGCAACTTTTTTATTATTTGGTCGCAAACATGGCACGCGGCATCTGGGGTCAGCCGGACGCTCCCATCCCACAAGCCGACCAACGTGACTGATAAGTAGGTAGGCCCCGGCGAAGGCGCCCTCCCAAGTTCCCGCCCATGCAGTGGCTGGAAGCGAGCAGGCAAGCCCCCTTTGGCCCTCTGGACCGCACTGCTTTGGATTAAAGGCTGCAAAGGCCCTGGGGGGATCTGGGATGCGGCATTTCCCCGCGCGCACTGGATGCGTGTTTCAGCGGACAGACACACGCGTCTAGGAGCGGCCCTTGGGCCCAGGGCAGAAGGGTGCCGGATGCTGTGGTGCGCTGCGCTGCGCTGCGCTGCTCGCTGGCCCGGCGGTGCCAAATCCAAACGAAGGAAACTTTTTTTGTGCGTGTTCCTGGCCCAAGGGCGGGTTTGTCAAAGGGGACCATAGCTAGTGCGCCTTCTAGAGTGCATCCCCGCTTGGGTGATTCGAGCATGGATTCACGTCAGGCTGGCTAGGCCTGGAGTGGACAACGCCGATCGCCAGGCGCATGCTGGCTACTAATCGCAGAGGGGAGAAGGGCAGAGGGGAGACGCACTTTGCCATGGCCGCGCTTGGTCCATGCCGGCTCGGGCGGATCAAGGACACGGGGAACCGAGCGCTTGTCTGGAGACGGCCACGGCCACAACAGCCCAGCCGATCGCTGCTGTGTCTGGCCGTGGTGCCCTCAGCGCCGACATGGCCGCCTGCCAACAGGCGTTTGCGCCATCTGCATCCTCTGTAGTGGCCGTCCAGCCAGCAGGCCATGGTTGTCGTCCTCTCTGCCCATTGCAACACACAGTCGTGGTCAGCCTGGCCAGCCTGACGAGCCTGACGCCCCCCTTCCCCCCTTCCCCCTTCCCCCTCCCCCCCTGCCCTCGGAACGCGAGACCGGCGCTTGGCGTCATCGCGATCGGTCGCACGCCTGGCGTCTGTGCTGCTATTATCGCGCGAGCCATCGCCCCGTCCTGCCATTCGCTGCGGTGGAGCCTCTGCCTGTTGGGCCATGCCGCATCTGCACCACACAATCACCGCCACATGACGGCCGGCCTGTGGTGCCCTTCTGGACCCCATCAGCATCTCGACACTTTGCCCATGGAGCACTGCACACACACACATGCACGCAATACTTCTTACTCATCTACATACGCAATTGCCTGCATACCTGCATCCTCAATTACCACCACATGCACACTCTCTCTCCATACACCTGTCAAGCCATCGTCTTCGCTCCGGTCACCGCGGTGCCTGGTTTACACACGTAGTCGCTCCCATGTCCATGTGGGCGTGCTACGCTGCACCCAATGACAGCCCTTGGTCGAGGAGCCGGTTGGCAGCATGGCGGTGGGGTGCACTGCGCTCTGGAGTCGCCATCCACGACCTTCCGGTGTGGTGTCTTCATTCCATGTAGGGTATGCAGATGCAGATGCAGATGCAGGAGAGCATTCAATTGCGCCTGCCGGTTCGGGAGTCCCGTGGCTCTGGGTACTTGAGGGGTCAAAGACGCCACATTGCCGCCCGCACGCCTGCCATTGGCACTGTGACAAGTCTAGTACAATTGGCCTCCATCCATCGCCCTCTTCACTGTCTACAATATTTCTCCGTCTCCTGCCAAACATTTTTGTTACAGCCCGGTAGATGACGGCTCAGGGGGCCTCAATCAGCACGCAACTCGCTTGCACGTGCGCTCGCTGACTCAGACACTTGTCCAAAAGCATCCCCTGCGAAGCCCACTTTGGCCATGGTCACGCTCGGCACACCAAACCGCGTAGGGTTTCATACTACCGACCGACGTGACGTCATTCGCGATGGCTGTACAAAATAATTTCATCCTGCAGCATCGCCCGATGCACATGTTGCATTCCGTAGATTTTTCCATGACGTGGGCTCCTTCGGCCCGTTGTAATGCCAGAAGATGCTGGTAACCAGTGACTAAGCGATGAACAATCACCAACCGCTTCTCGTCTTCCTTGCTCCCACAAACAACAACAATCCAGTTTCACGCCTCCCACAATCCAAGAGTCGGCCCTTCGAAAAGAAAAAAATGTTGTTGAGCACCAAGCGCATAGTTGCCCAAAAGTCCCCACTTGAGGTGTTGGCTGCGACTTTTTTTTTCGAAGATCGGTATGCGTTGTCGCCAACGACGCCTCATGCTAGGACAGACAGAGTTGCGGTCTGTCTTTTTTGCACAAGTGCCTCAGACCGCGGGAATGAGCAATGTTAGTACTAGTAGTAACCGAACTACTTAACCTCGAAATGCTGGTCCGGTGCTTCTTGCTGTAAAAAGTACAAACAGGAAACAGGATTTCACAGTACTCTACTGCATGGTCCCAAAGTCCTTGGTGCAGTGTAGTACTCTCTACCCATACCTTCTGTCCAAATCATCTCCGCCACTTTTCACTGGTTGTGCAATTGAGTGATTTTCTAGAGGCTTGTCTAAGCCGTCAAGTGAGAGGCAGGAACTTCCGATGCTGACGCAGCTTGCGCGGCAGGTTGGGCAGGTCATTTAACATCATCTGACTGCATCAAGATTTGTTCAGTCAGTGCCTCGAACATCAATGTTACTCTCTATGAACAAATGGCCTGGTCATGGTTTTGTACCCTATCGATAACAGATGGCTGTGGGATGACTTCTGACAAGCGTGCAGCACAAGAGAATACTCCAACTTCTTTGTGGTCTTACAGTCAGCCTCTGATATGCAGAATCAATCAGAGCATACCATGAAATGACTCTCTTGGGTAAGTCGCTACGGATAGTAAATGCAATTTGTGTAACCAATATGCCTGCAAGGATGTTTGTGTACGTAGTACAAAGACATCGGAAACGATACCCATCTTAGTCAGCAGCTCACGTGCTTGACGTTCGTCATTGTGCTCGGCAACCTCAAACCGTCCACCAGCAACATCACTGCCTGGACCCAAACTGCATCCCCACATCGCGCACGATACTGGAACATTGAGATACATCTCTCAACGATCAGCCGCACCTATATACAGCCCGCAAGTTCCAAATCGCATCATCTCACGCATCGACGATGGCGGACGCATCCGCGCAACCTAAGCCAAGCAGCAGTGTCAAGCTTGTGCTGCTAGGAGAGGCGGCTGTGGGAAAGGTGCGCGATGTCAATACGTCAGTTTTGAACATGAACTGACTTCGATGCTAGTCTTCCCTTGTTATGCGCTTCGTGAACAATGACTTCCAAGAAAACAAAGAGCCAACTATCGGAGGTATGGACACAGCCACCCTACTGATCCCATTCTCAAGCGGCGCCTTGAGGCTAACATGACTCCTGACAGCTGCTTTCCTCACGCAGAAGTGTAATCTACCGAGCCGTACCATCAAGTTCGAGATCTGGGATACCGCAGGCCAGGAACGTTTTGCCTCGCTTGCACCCATGTACTATCGCAATGCGCAAGCCGCCCTCGTCGTGTACGACATCACCAAGCCCTCATCTCTCACAAAAGCTCAACACTGGGTTGCCGAACTGCATCGTCAAGCCTCGCCCGGCATCGTCATTGCGCTTGTAGGAAACAAATTCGATCTTGCCACTGCTGGTGACGAGGACAGGCCAGAGGATGCGGATGCTGCGCCTGCAGCCGAGGGAGAGGAAGAGCAGGCACAAGACGACCAAGACTCCAGGAGAGTGCCCAGCAAGACTGCAAAGGCATATGCGGATGAAGAGAGTTTATTGTTCTTCGAGACGAGTGCAAAGACTGGCCACAACGTTGCTGAGGTATTCACTGCCATCGCAAACGCAATTCCAGAGGCGAGTTTGAAGGGACCACGCCACGTCGGCGGCCAAACCAACCTAGCTAGGCAAGATGCTGACAGGGTAAACTTGGGCAGCGCGCAGCCACAGGGTCCCAAAGAGGGCTGTGCGTGCTGATATGCTTTTTGGACAATGGGCTTCAATTACATATTAATGGGCGGAAACACTGGAGATAAAGATTGCCAGAGTGTTGATCGCAGATTTATGACAATATTTTTTTCTCTTTCTTACCCCTGCCAGGCGTTGAACGAGGAGAAGCGTAGTACTCTTTTGCTTGTCAATAATATTGTTTAGCAATGCGTTGAAGACTATTTGCTTGATTATGAGGAATTGCGCTAAAGATATCTAGGCTCTATGGAGCACTGCAGATGCAGGGATGTCCAACAACGGGAATGCCATTGTGTACTTGTACTACGCAGCATGCCTCGAAGATTACTAGTACTTTGTCCTCCCTCTGAACATAAGCGGTTATACTTGATTGGTAATATCATGTCTAGGATATGAAAATTAAGTACTTTGTTGATTGATGGTTCTCGGTCTTAAAAGTTGTTTCTCTATCAACACTATGTGGTACGTAGATATGCTTTGGAATAGCAGGCATCTTATCGGAGAGACTGGTGAGGAAGTGGACTCCAAGTAGGAAGGATGTGATCTTGTGAACGTATGTGTTTAAGACATCTCACATCAGCCTCAATGGCTTATAGACAAGAACACTGTAGGAGATGGTCTCACGATTTCCATACTCAAGAAATGCTGGGACCATATGGTAAATGGGGTAGTGTCCATAGGTACCTAGCTCCTACTGCAAACAACCTCATTATTCAGATTCCCGGGAACCTGCGGGATACATGTATCGCAAAGAGCAGCCAGGTCTTCCTCGGGATGAAAACACAGTCGTCTTACTTGAATCTGGTGGCATCCCAACCTGTTTACATACAAGTGACAAAAGTAGAGCCTCTGCAAGCGCCACCAATGATTGCGGGGCTGCTGCGCACAAATCTGACGCTAACCTTTTTTCCCCAATCACCTATACTTCTCACTACTCATTCGCCTTTTCGGAACTATCGTGTTTGACTCACCATACATCACTCATCTCGACTCAGAGTGTTGCCTAACGTAATCCTGGATATATCTTGTCAACTTGTCCCCGCATTCGTCAAAATTCGCCCCGCAAATATTTCGCGCATCTTCAGCAGGACTATCACGAACATGGCCAGAGGGGGTCGTGGCGGCGGCAGTCGCAATCCGGCCAATCAGCCAAGAGAAGTGCAGGTTTCAAAGAAGATAAGCTGGTTACTCAGACATGGAGCTGACCAGGAGGGACTGAAATTAGGAAAGGGTGGCTATGTCAATGTCCAAGATGCGGTAAGTGTGTAATTGCAGTGTACATAAACCAAAGTCATCGGGAACAAAAAAAAAAGAGCCAGAATTTGGAAATCCCTTTTTGAGAATCGTAGTCAGATGGATCCGTTTTCATTGGCTTTTTTTTTGGCAAGCAGCAAAAAATTAACAGTCCACAGCTCAACACCAAGGCTCTTCAAAGCCTCAAAATCACCTTTGCAGAAGTCCGTGACGCAGTCGCAAACAACGAGAAACAGCGCTTCTCCATGATTCCAGTCTCTTCACTTGACAAGGAATCATCTGAAGTGCCTGTATCAGAGCAACTGGAAAGCATACAGGAATCAGACGATCCTGCAGACTACGTCATCCGCGCGAACCAAGGTCACTCGATCAAGGTCGACAACGAAGGCCTCCTCGTCCCCATCTCCGCCGAAGCCGGAAACGTGCCCGAGACAGTCGTCCACGGCACCGACGAGCGCGCCTGGAACCTCATCCTCAAGAGCGGCGGTCTCCGTCCCATGGGGAGAAACCACATCCACTTTGCGTCTGGACTGCCCGCTGGATTCAGATCCCTCGACTCGACGTCTGCATCTGCGGACGCTGCGCCCGTTATATCCGGTATGCGCAAGAGTTCGACGATTCTGGTCTACGTTGATATCGATGCTGCGCTTGCTGCTGGTATCAAGTTTTTCATCTCGGAGAATGGTGTCATTTTGACAGAGGGCAATGAGCAGGGCTTTTTGCCGTATACCTTTTTCAAGCGCGTCGAGAGTAGGAAGAAGGATGGGGGTGTTCTGATGAGCGATGGCAAGTTGCCTGAAGGTGTGGCTGTTGATGTTGAAGAGTGGGAAAAGGAAGTTGGGCAAGCGAAGAAAGGCAGAGGGGGTGGTGGTCGAGGTGGTCGGGGTGGCGGTGGAAGAGGAGGTAAAGCAAGAGCAGGAAACAATTCAAGAGACACGACGAGTAATGCATAAATTTTTCATTGATTAAAGTATCAGAAAATAAAAATGAATATATAGTGCAAATTTTTTTCATGTTCATAAATACTGATTACACAGTTAAAAAAAAATAGGTATATCGCAGAGCATCCTTTTCCAGAAAGCATTTTTCTTTTCTGTACCGAGCAATCTTCCCCCAAGTCTATATATCGTACACAAGGAAAGAGGTAAAAAAAAAAAAAGAAAGTGTGTAGAAGTTGTTTGTAGAAAGTGTGTGTAGAAAGTATGTGCGACGAAGAGGAATGAAGAAAGGTATAAAGGTTCTGTTTGAAAGAGAAGAAGAAAGAGAAGAGGAATAATGTAAAGGAAGGATGAAGAAGAAGAAAAAAAAAAGGAGAAGTCATGTAGGAAAAAAATGAGTGGATGATCAAACATCTTGCTGCGGTCGTCCCTGTGCCGCGCTCTTCTCACCAAAGTAATCCCTCGCCACGACGCCCTCAGTCCTCAGCACATGGCTGGTAGGCCTCGAGTCCTGACGGAGGCCAGGGGACATGATGGGCTGGGGGGCAACAACACCTTCGTGCGAGTTCCTCGCGGTATCCAAGTCATCATCCTGCTCCTCAACACTGGGGCGACCACCAACGGTGCGCACAGTAAGGCGACGACCTAGACCACCTTGCTTGGAAGCCTGGTCTTCCTCAAGGCGAATGACGACCTCGACGGCCTTTTCGTCCTCGATGACCTTGGGGTGGCGCTTAGCGAAGTAGCGCGCGTACTTGTACAGTGACCAGTAGCAGCTTGCGACGTTGACGAAAGTGAGGACGATCTTGTAGGGCAGGTAGTAGACGTAGAGGAGAACCCAGCCGACGCGCTCGTTCTTGCGGCGGAGATGTACTTCGTTGAAGATGATGACGTTGATGGCGTACATGACGATTGTGGCGGCGAGAAGATAACCACAAAAGTCGGGGCGGACGATGAAGGAGATGGGCAGGATGAAGGGAGTGAGGAGGTAAAGGAGAGTTTCGTAGACCTAGACGTGTGTATGTTAATATATGTGAAGGGATGCGATGTAGCGAAGGTATATGTGCTTACCTCTTGGAAGACAAAGATCTTAGCGCCAATCTCCCACCAGCCGAGCTTCCAGTCGCAGAGGATGTAGGCCATGTTGTAGTACATGCCGTTGACGAAGAAGAAGTTCCAGCGCTTGAAACGTTGAGAGAAGATGGTCATTTCACCAAAGCCACCGCGAGAGCCGCCGCCAGCGAAGAAGACGGCAGTGGGGGTCTCGGTCTCGACGAAAACCTGCGAGCACATCTTGATGCGCGAACCAAGCTGGCGGGCGACGTGACCGAAGAACCAATCCTCTGATACACTGAAACCGGGGTGCTCGTGGAAAGTCTTGATGAGGAGTTCGCGGTCCCAGAGGGAGATGGCGCCGTGGGGGAAGGTAGCAGAACCGATCTTGCCGGCAAATTCACGCTGGATACCACTAAGCTTGTACTCAAGATCCTGGGCTTGTTGGCAAAGGTTTCCCTTGGACCCATTAGGCCCGACGGATTTGATGGTGTAACCAATGCACTTGACTTTGTCAGTCATGCGGTCAGTGACGATGGGGAAGTTATCGGGAAGGGCGCAGTCATCGTCGATGAGCAAGACGTTCTTGAACCCTTTTGCGGCGTAGCAGCCAACGAACTGAGCAACAATCTTTGATCCGATGGGCGACCAGATGTGGTTGACTCCGTAAGGGCGGCAGACCTCTTCTGTGTTGTCGAGTGGCGTGGGACTGTTTCCGTTGGCAATGACGAAGATGTGGGATGCAGGGAAGATCTTCAAGGCAGCTTCGAGAGTGTTGGCAATGAGCCCGGCGGACTTGTAGCAAGGGATCATGAGACAAGTGTCATCAACAGTGGATGGATACTTGGTTTCTGTGGTGTAGTCGGCAGGTGGAGGGTCCTTTTCGAAGAGGATAAGAAGAGGAGCAAAGGCGTAGCTGTGGAGAGATTAGCAAAAGCCCAAAGTTGTCTACAAGGACCAACTTACAATAGCGCAATACCCAGAGTGATACCGAATCCACCAGGAAGGACAAACTTGGTTTGGACAACCCAGTACATCCACCAGACCGCACCCTTCCAGAGCGGCATACCAATAAGCACAAAGTATATGAAGAGGATCATAACGAGATACAAGCTGTACTCGAAAGTGTTTTGTGCCCATGGCTTGCGCTGGATCTCGATACCCTTCTGCTTGGCCTTCTCGTAGGTTCCGAACAACTCACTCCGTTGGAAGTAAGATGCGTTGGTCATGCGACGTTGCAAAGAGCCAGGAATGATGCCATCGACCACTGACTGCAGAGTGTTCTTGCGCTTGTGCTTAGCATGATGTACTGGTTCAGGTTGCTTGGGTGGCGCATCAAACGACCCACGAGGCGTGTTGTTTTCTGTTGCGAAAGGATCGCTCTTGACCGAGCTTGGCTTTGAAGCAAAGGGGTTGTCGTTGGAATAGGTCGATGATATGCTAGCTCTCCTCTCAAAGTTGGGTGATGGTGCTCGGCTTTCCCGAGGAGTAGTAGTCAGAACATCGCTTGAGCCAGGTACATAGGAGAGGGTTCGCTGAGCCCTTGTGCTTTCTTCGTCAGGTGAGGGTAGTGTGTATCGTGAAGTTCTGTTGTTGTCGAAGGGACTGGCGTTAGAGAACCGAACACTTCTTCTTCGTTCGCTTTCGCTTCGTGTGCGTCCGGCATCGGTAGAATCCTGAGTACCATTCCGTTGTAAACCCCTCGAGCGTTGGTTGCTGTTTTGTCGAATAGCTGATCGTTGAGAGCTGTTTTTTCGAAGGGCGGACCGTTGAGTGTCATTTCGACGAATAGTTCCTACCCCTGCGTCGAGGAAAGGGTTCTCTTGTATAGGCTCCCATGCAGCAGTATGGGTGGCGGTGTTGTCCCGCTTGGATCCAAGATTGCCAGTGGCACGTAGGAGATGAGCGGGAACCGCAACATCCTGGGATTGGGAAGGCATGATCTCACTGGACCGCCGGCCTTGTCCAGGGAAGTATTCTGGTCTCCGAGACGAAGTGTCGAAAGGAGACACCATTGTGAAGAGTAGGGTAGAATGTACTGAAGGATATTAAGCCTTGAGTGTAGTTATACCTGGGCGATGGTGAAGATGATGAACCCCATTATCAGCGGGGGCCATACTCCAGATCTTGTACTTTTCGCACCTTCGGGCGGGTAGTCGGATGCCCTCATAGCGCCATCAGGATCTGGAATCACCAAAGCGTGCTAATGGCCCACATCTCACGAAGTGTGAGCACCCCAGCGTCGATCGAGACGGGCTGCTTCGCCCATACTCTAGAATTGGCTGGCTTGTGCGCCACAGACGAGGTCTACTCTGACGTTCACGGCTGAGCCTGGACCAAAGAAGTACCCACGTTGCTTAATAGTGACCCAGACGAGTTAGCTCCCGTCAAATCTTAGCCTGGGGCAAAATTCATATGTCGAGATCTGAACCGGTTCGAACGACGGCGGCCAAGCTAGTTGGATCGTACTAAGTCAATCATTGAGCCACACCATCATCATTGCGTGGATGATTGTGTACACATCAACCTAACAGGAAAGCATCACGTCAAGTTGTCTTGGGATGTGCAGTTGCAAGCCGTATGCTTTCTCAACACGTAAGACGAGAGTTTTCGGGAGCCTGGGCATTATTTCTGCAGGGCCCTCCGATACTTACATGCATACGGCAGTCTAGTAAGACATGAAACATCCACAATGATTCTGACAGATCGACAGGGGCCCACGAAAAAGCCCAGTTAACGGAGAAATCCTGACCAGGGGTAGCTGACGGAGAAGGTCATGTCCCGATTTCTGGGATTTGAAAGGGCAGTTCATGGCGTAGCCGTGTGCATGGGCCTGGGACACAGCCACATGGACCTGCATGCCTTCGGGAGCTACAAGTAAACCATTTTGGCTTGAACCAAGGAAAAAGTAGGGGTTTGAGACGCCGGCCATGGCGGCTGAGAAGGCCGTCTAGTGTTGATGGGGGGTGAACAAGTAGTTTGTAATTGATATGCTTAGCGTGAATCGCGATCGAAATTGAGGGTGTGATTACTAGGCAAGAGAGCCCCTGCAAATTGTTGCTGATGGAGAATAGCGCTGGAAAATATTTTTCTCCCATGCTCCGAGAGTGCATGGGATTCCTGTGATACATGCACGGGGTGCTATGATGACACGTGGGGTCCGTATTATTGCACTGCAGGACTTGAGCACCCTTGCGCAGGTACTTCGGAGAGTACTTTTTGGGTCGAGAAACACCGAACTCGACCGAACATCGTCGGTTCGGTGGCAAAGCGCATTAGGCCGTGGGTGTAAAGTAGAGCGACTACAAAGGTACTTCCAGATCGCAGATGCGCGCCCCAAAACCGGCGGTGCCTTCTTTGTTTTTGTGGTCGACGCTAGGTCCTGTAGCGCTGCGTCCTAAGGTCGGCGCCGCTACAGTGACGTCCCTTTCCGTGGAGACGTTTAACTCTCATTACATGTTGGCCCTCCCCACTTCCCTGCCAAAAGAAAAATAATAGAGAAGCAACACTTGGCAGGACCACAGCGTTGTTGGTGAAACTGAGCAGGATCAGTATGTTTATGAGGTTGAGTTGCACGTCGCTAAGAAAACGCCGTTCCCGCCGGCCCGTCAGGTGAGCCGCCGTAAGGCGTACTAAGAATCGAGTAATTACGTCAGCCCCACCTTAGATGAAAGAGGCTTTGCTGGGCGTTTGAGGTACAACAACTGTAGCCTCCATTCGCCCTAGATTTTTTTTCTAGCAATTACCACGAAATGAGCGCCTACGCCTCGCAGTACCCGCCGGCTATTCCGATTGATCCTTCATACAAGGAGTTTTTCCAGACCTTTTACGCCACATCCGACACTCCAGAGGCGCACGAAGACTACGTCAAATACTTTACGAAGGATGCAACACTAGTCATGGCTTCCAAAATAGCAGTAGGCCGAGATGGTTTGTCGCGCGTTGCTTTTTTCATCTAGCCTCCACTCCATACCTGCCATAGTCCTTTACTCTCTGGAACCGCAACGGTTGATTCGTCCCGATGGGCTGACTCTTGGCTCCAGAGATCCTAGCCTTGCGCAAAGCCATGTGGGAAACGGTCTCCAGCAGGGCGCACGCACCACTGAAGATATTTCCGTTTGGTCCAAACGCTAACGAAGTCATGTTGTACGGAACGGTAAAATACGGCCTTAAGGCAGGGGGGGAGTCAAGTAAAGACTGGGCTGCAAGGGCGCACCTCGTCAAGGAAGGAGACGGCAAAGTGATGATGAACTTCTATCAAGTGTATCTGGTACGACATTCAGCCTCCACACGCTCTCGCTCAGAAGATTTTGAGCTAACAAACGGATCAAGGATACAGCAGCATAGGCCAAGTAGAGTGTTGATCTTAGGTAAATCAAAGCATTGGCTCGTGGAGCTATTGACGTATGTGGTAACATTCGCTGTACACACGGAGCTTGTAAGCATCATATCCGATGCTACTGCTACCTACCATGACATTGTCGTCTCCGAATGAAGTGGGTATGGGGGATGTTCCAACTCCGGAATCAAACTGAACAGGTAACCAGTTCGCCGTCTTCCGAGACAATGATGGGTCTGTCGGTATACTTAAACTGGAGACAACCACATGGTTCTTCGGGTGGCCCGGCTTCTGTTGACGGTAATTCAGGCCGACAATATCTTGAACAGATGCTGACCGCGCCGCATGTCATGTTGATGCAAGAGCACCTCCATGTTCAGTTACCTCCCACTGATCCCTACCCACTATAAACTTTATTGTATACCGTATTCAGCGGAATGCCTGTGATGCCTGGGACGGGACAATTGATTACTGTCGGCTTCCGCTGAATCACATCCGTGATCACCAACATTGGCAGTCGGTAATTTTCTATGAGCTAAATGTCATACCGCCTCCGCGGAAATACGAGAATACTGAGGGTAGCCTTGCTATGATAGGGCTTGGTACAGAGTATGCCACACGAAGACCCTCTGCGACTGATGATGACGGTTCAACTTGCCACACTAACCATATCTAGCAAAGAGTTGCTCATCTGCTAAGCTGACAATGAAATAACTTTCCCAATGAAATGTATGCGATTCCGAACACGGAGGTATAGCTACGTATCGCACATTTAACATTTTTGGTACCCTTTTGCATCGTAAACCTAAAATCCAATCTGGAGCATCGCTACCATCACACCACATCACCCTCCGCACAGATCTGAGTGCTCAGTGCCAGAACTCGGCCCTTTCGTTACCGGTGAAATTTCTATTCCAAGGCCTTGGATATTTTGGGTGGATATCGTTAAAGGGGTAGAGCTTTGACATGACTCGCGAACAGACCTGGATCTCGGAACATCGGGCTACCAATCGCAATAGCCTTACATCCAGACACTGTTGGCCAACTCCGCGTACCATACCGTCTCATTGAAACCCGAATACCACACGCGCGATCACTGAGTACCAAGCAATCTGGACCCTTGTGCAAAAAAAGCAAACACAGATCTAGGGTTGTTTCTCGGTTTCGCACGCCACTTACGGACTGGGCGCTAACGCTAAAAAGGATGTTTCATAATCTGTCAGCGTCATCCATGGTTCGCGTGGTGTGACTGGCGCTAGTTTACTTTTGGCAGCGGACTTGTAACGGAGTTGCGGCCAACCAACAGGACCTTACATTAGCAAGGGATGTCACCGCGGTCCGAAGATTTCCATCCTTTTGTCTGCACCTACATATTTTGACCAAATCCAAAAAAAATCATTAGTAAGCAAACAACGCCCGGCTAGCTCAATCGGTAGAGCGTGAGACTCTTAGCTTTCACGTCCTGATCAGACTCGATTGGTTATCTCAAGGTTGTGGGTTCGACCCCCACGTCGGGCTCGAGATCTTTCTTTTTTGCTTCTGCCGCGGACCTGTATGCATCATTGTCATGCAGGGCAAGATGGCTTGTCGAGAGATTTGTAAATCTTTTTGCCCTGCGGGTACGGTACCATTTGTCGTCATGCAGGGTAAGATGGCTTGAGGCTATGTATGTAAATCTTTTGTACCCCGCAGATGATCTCTTGCTTGCCTTACCCGCGTCGGCGAACAAAGAAAGGCAAGTTTCTTGAGCTTCTGAAAGATGTCACTAGTATAGCGACATGGATCGTACGTCAGGGTATACCTACATAGGTGGCGCCTTTCATAGGCGGAACCACGTCACTGCGTGATTTTTAGCCAACTTTATGGGCATCACTGATGTGTTAGCTGAATCTTGAAGACACGTCTTTTGCACACACTGTTGTTCTTATTCAAGCACAGTATCTTCTTTACAGAATCGTTGTGTGTGCTGTGTACCCATGAATCGGTGCTGCCAGAGTGTCTGCATATTTAAGAACTAGACTGCAAAGCACGGGCTGTTTGACACTAGGAAGTAACAGCGAAAACTTTATCTATTTTAGTGACGTGCTATTGAACCTGAGTTTCAGGTACCAACACTGACATTGACATTCCACTGCGTGATGTAACTGTACAATCTTCTTTGCGCATCTGCATTACCTATTTATATTTTCTTACTCGTCTCTAGTCCAAAGCTATATGCCTAGCTGATATCAATGCACGTAAAAAAAATCGTATTACGAAACAACAAACCTGAGCACCTGCAGATTCTCAAAGCCAATACCATGGAAAGTATCGTTGTGAGTTCTCACTCGTTCAACAGTAATGAACAACGTAGGCATAACAGAAAGCTTTGCTCAGAACAGTTTTTTCTGTACATACTTTTCGGAGCAAATAGCCAACCTTAAGCTTCGGCTGGAACCTTGACTGTAGATACCACGACACGCGTATACATTTCATGCTATAGATACAAAATCAGTCAGATCATCTGCAAAAACCACCTGTCGTATCAGCGTACATGGCGCTGACAACCGTATCCAGAAAACTTTCTCTATGCAGCTGCACATTCAACGTAAGCTTATGTAAGTCGCAGAATATCAGCAAACTCAAGAGGGCAGACTTTCCGTTCAATAATTTCCCGAAGACCACTTTTTTCTATATAAAGAGCGCTTCGATTTTTCTTCCTCCTCGCCATTCAAAAAACATACCAAACTCAAACCTCTCTATATTTCTAATAAAATGGATCTTGTATTTGTACTGCTAACACCGCAGTAGAGATCTTCTAAGTTGTGGTGCTAAAAAAGTTTTCTTGAAACTGGTCTTTCGTTACGTGATTACTGTAAATCCTAAGAGAATTTCCTATATCTACCCTCCCTTCGGACGGCTAATTAATAGTTAACACAAGGCTGTTTAAATGAAATGAGCGTGATTTAGAGCTGTAGGTCAAGAAAATCGGGAAAGTAATAATTGTTAGGTCTACTGCCGTAGAAACCGGATCTTCAAATCCACTGTCCTTGGCTCACTACCTCCGTAATCTCCAATATATTCACTGTACGAGTTTACATGCAAGACTCTTAGTTATATCTGCTTCGGAAAAAAGCACGCGTACTAGACGCCCTTCGCTACGGCCAGGCCTCTTTTTTGTAGATGTGTGACTTGACTTTTTCTTCCTCTCTGTTTGCTATATAGCGTCTTAGATCAATTATGTCAGAGAAGAATGGCAGGCCACACAGCTTAACCTGCCGGAATCGGGTTATCGAAAAAATACCTTTGCAGTCAGAGTAAAATTTGCAGGTGTGGTGTTGGTAAAACGCCGGGTTGTTTGTTCGCGACGGGGAAAAAGGGAGGTATTGAATAGACAGGTTGTTAATAGTTAGATTGGGAGAAGTTGATTTCTTGGGTTGATTTCGTTGGTTTATTTGCTTGGATAGATTCAATCGATAGGAATATCTGTGTTGATTAGGCACAATATAGTATCTCGGATTGATTGCTTGATTACTTCTAAGTGTGTGCGCATGTGGGTATATCTAAATCCCAGAAGAGGACCATCTAGTACAATGGTGAACACCCCTCTCGTATAAGGGAGATAATTCAAATATGTTCTAGTCTACTGTTATCCGTGGGTGAATGTTAGACGAGAGATATGTAGTTAGTGGCAGAAAAGGGTTGAAATGATATTGCAAGCATTTTTTTGACTGCGTTGTTGAGAGTGATCAGTGTCTTATTCCTCATGCCTTTGGAGAGAAAACGTTAGAAATCATCACCTAAACATAGACTCGGGGATCGATACAAACTCATCAATTGAACATGCGACTCCTAAATCGGTCGTATTTACATATGACCCTAGATCATCTCTCACCGCCAACTCCTTACTAGACTCATATCTACTTATACAACAACAGTCCCCCAGCCCCTGCCCAAAGAACAACAGCCATGTTATCTACATATCCTTTGTCAAATCGTAAATCTTCTGAATCTCCTTAAGCTGACCCTCATGGTCAAAGTTGAGATCCTTCAGCATTCCATCATGGAACCCGAACACCCATCCATGCACAACGGGGAACTCATTCTCAGCCCAAGATTGTTGTACAGCAGCTGTCTTGATAATATTCCTGCACTGCTCATACACATTGAGCTCGACAAGCTTGTTATACTTGTCGTCCTCGGTTCCACCATTGGCAATGACATCGTCGAGCTCCTTTTGGTGCAGACGGTATACGTCGCGGATGTTTCGTAGCCAGGGGTTCAAGAGACCCATGTCCTTGGGGGTCATGGCGGCTTTGACACCACCGCAGCCGTAGTGGCCACAGACGACAATGTGCTTAACTTTGAGGTGGCGCACGGCGTAGTTTACGACGGACATGACGTTGAGATCGATGTTGCAAACGAGGTTGGCGATGTTGCGGTGGATGAACATCTCGCCGGGCTCGAGGCCAGTGATGGCTTCGGCTGGGATACGGGAGTCGGAGCAGCCTGGAGGAAGCGCGGTCAGTGATTGCTTCATTCGATTTGGTCTACAACTGAGTGTTTTGCAAGGCGACCCAGGCTATTGAGACCAGTTGGGTAGCCAGTTGATTGCCCAGCCGGCTCTCCGGAATGACTTTGGCTACTTCATACAAAGATTGACTCACCAATCCAAAGATACTCGGGAGCTTGACCCGCGCTCATATTTTCAAAGAACGCAGGGTTCTTCTTCTTCATCTCCTCGGCCCATTTCTTGTTGTTCTCAAAGATACGGTCATGGCTCTGCTGGAGGTACTTGCGAACCTCCTTTGAATCCTCTGTTCCAGTCATCCTGGGCCACGAATACTGTCGTTTGGTCTGGAGAGGCTGCGCGGAAGTAGTTGCTTGAAGTTTTGGGATGGATGATCCGGTATGACAGAATCGCGACGAAGTCCGACCAAGCAGTGCAGAGACTGGCGAAGGATTTAAAGGCAGAGGTGAGCTTGATAACAGACGCGCCGGAGAAGAGAGAAGCTGCCCCGCGGCAACTAGCTCTCGGAGGGCGTGGGGTAGCCGGTGCGGCATGACAAGAACCAAGATAGACAGCAAGTCCACAAATCGCCAATTCTTTTAGTAATTGTGCCGGCAGACTCGGTTCACAGAGAGGGAAGATGCGCGAAACAAAAAATATTTGTCGGGTTATTTTGTTGTTTGTTGCGCGCCGATTGGACGCTCTGACGTTGACGGATTGGGACATCGGTCCAAGATGGTGGGGAGCTTGTTGTAGATCGGTGGACGAGAGATCTAGCGAACGGATCTCATCCAGATTTCAAGACCCAGATTGGCCCAGGGTTCTTTCTGCGAAGCTTCAATATCCCTGTCTGCGACCATCAATATCGTTCATGCTACACAAAAAGTTCTTGAAGACACCAGACCAATGTCTCTGAATGACAACCAGCGCAGTCTCATCCTAAATCATGCCGATCGTCTGCTCACCACTCGGGCTTGGCCAAAGACGATCTGCCCTTCCGAGATCGCACGTGCATTGTCCGGCGCGGAGCTGGACACGTTGAACGCAACAACATGGAGAGACACTATGGACATTATACGACAGCTATTGTGGGAGAAACGAGCATCTGGCGAAGTTGAAGTTATGCAAAAAGGAGAAGTGGTGGCCGCAGAGAGCTTGGAGGATATCAGAGGTCCAATTCGAGTGAGATTGGCAAAGACACAAGTTAGTCGGGTATAGCGTAATAATATTCATGCTTACCACAACAATCTACGTCTGCTCAAGCTGTTGCTACGCTGCCAATGCTGCCAATGCTCCGACCAACGCCGAATGTCAACTCCGCCAACGCCCCGCAAATACATCAACTCCGGTGAACTCCAATCAATGCCCGCGATTACTCATTTCTCAGGATAGCTGGCCCCGCTGACGTCGAGACCCTGCCATTTCTCGTCCCAGCCCATTCCTGGATCTGTTGCATTACCCGCTTTGCCCTCCTCGGTCAGATTCTTGATATCACTCCAATACTCCAACTTCTTGCACTCGTTATCCGCTGCCTCGACGGCTTTGAGCAGGTTGTTGATTCGGCGTTCCTCGGCCTCACCTTCAGGCTTTCCGTCTTTTTCGTGTTGTTCGCGGTGTTCTTTTGCAGCATCAAAACGGTCCATCAGCGTCGAGAGAAGTTGGCGGCGTGAATTTTGGAAAATAAGCATGGACATGATTGCAGGAATCTGCATGTGTTAGTGTGATCGGATTCAAGAAACGCACGTGGGGAATGTGTACCTGTTCTGCAAGATAGTGTAATTCCTCACCCCCATCATTAATGAACTTGTGTATGTAAACAATCTTCTCGCGGTCGATTGCAGCAGCCTTCAGCTTCCTCATCAATGTGGCAATATCTCTGATCTCTTCGTCCAAACTAGTTTGAGAGCTGTCCAACAGACCGCTGCCAGTGCCAAATGTCGTGGATCGAGCCAAGGTTGTACCAATACTAAATTGCTCACCAAACATGCGTTCCTTGGCGTTTGCTCTGGTCTTGGGTGGCAGTCTCTGCTTAACACGTCTTCGCAACCAGCGTCGCCGGCGGACAAAGCTATGAAACCACGGATGGTTGCCATGCCACGCTGAGCCCTTGAACAAAAAATTGTATTGCCAGCCTTCCTCATCGACGTCCAAGCTCATGTCGACATACCAAGTTTTCCAGTCCCATACCCAGCTCGGGTCAGGCACCTGTGCGTTTGTGATGTTGACAGCCGAGGGCTTGAACTTGGCATCTTGCCAGGGCGCAGGATCGATTCTTAGGTTCCATAGCGCCTTGGAGGAGAAGAGCGGTATGCCGAACACGAACCAACCGCGCTGGTTTTCGTAGAGGATGTCGATGTGGGAGCTGGCGTTCGTGAGTTGCTGCTCGGATTGTGTGACGGTCGTCGAAGGCGTATTGTCGCCATTTGTGTGGTCGACGAGGCTTATTGGCTGGTCGGCCATGCTGTTGAGCTAGGTATGTGTAGGAAGGAGGTCGAAGGCGGACGCCGTTGCTATCGCCGAGACATGAGGTCGATGTGGTTTGACAGGCGCGCCACGCTGCGTCTGGAGCTCCGGAGAGTCTGATGATTTTTTACGAGGAAGCGAGGATCGATTCGTAGCGTATCGCTCGGGGTCGTGAACACGTTGCTGCGAAGGGTGCTAAGGTTGGTGTATAGGGGGTTCGTGGTTAGGACGATGCACGCACGCCCGAGGATTGTCAAACACCGCGCAACTAAATTGCTAGTCGCGCTAAAAGCTACGGAAAAACGGAGGTACGTGAGCAGAAGCAAAACTGCCGAATGAATGGCGTGTGGTTCCCAACAGTCATGATGCTTTTCGAGGAGTTCACTAGTTTGGCGATTTAGTTCGCACGCGTAGTTGGATCATCCAACTGCGCAGGAATTACGTCACACCAGCTGTGCTGCCTTGAAAGTCTTCCCCTCTTTCTTAACAGCGATGATTCTTCATTTTTGATTTGCAAGTTCGCACAATCTAATCCCTCTTCAAATCCAAAAACCTTTTTTTTTCAAAAAACAATCATCCCAGTCAACATGTCTCGCAAATTTCTGACCTACGGTGGTATTACTGCTCTTGGTGGAGCGACTTACTACCTCTACAGCGCTGGAGGCGACCCGAAGCTTGCCGAGAAGAAAGCAGAACGTGCGTCATTGAGCGTCGCTTTGAACAGAGCGCAAGCTGACTGATACATAGACGATGCGGCGACTGCTGCGCGCAGACTGAGAGGCGACTACCCTGGCCAGGACAAGGAAGCGAAGAAGGCAGCTGAGGAGGGTTACGAGGCAGTACGCGCTACCGCACAACAATACGTAAGTTTGGAATAGTCTTGCCTTGTTTGCAACATGCCCTAACTTCGACCAGGCCGACCAAGCCAAGGCGGAGGCGAACAGACTGGAGAAGAGGTTCGATGCTTACAGCGCCGACGCGAAAAAGCAGTACGAGCATGCAAAGGTGCTTGCTGAACAAGAGCTGCACCAAGCCGGCAAGCAGGTCAACGCAGCGGCAAACAAGTTTGATGCCGTCGTCGAGGACAAGGCGGCAAAGGCAACGGGCTGGTTCGGCGGCTGGTTTGGTGGAAGCAAGTAAAGTATGAGGCATGAGTGTGCTATTGGTGTGGTGATGGTAAGAGCAGAAGAGAGCAGAAGCATCCTTCTGACACTTTGCATGAGCATTGGAGTACATGGGCGTCAGTTCCTTCATCTCGGTAGCATAATGTAATACTCATACATATACCACTGTTGGTTTTTCCTGTCGTGTAGTGGTTCGCGTGTGGTACAAGAGACCAGCTGCATGGCGTTTGCATGCAAGTGCGGGATGATGAAGGAGAACATGATATCATTCGATAGTAGAGAATATTGCCTAACTCAGCGCGTCATTGTCTAGACGTGTATGGAGAAGAATGAATGGTGGACGCGCTGCCATAGGGCGGGGCAATTGCTCGTTTGGGTTTCAAATGGGTGGGGCCTTAGTTACGCGACGCGAACGCGCAACGCGTCAAGCGTGTCTCTCCTTCCTTCCTTTCCCTTCCCTGTTTTACATACCCCCTCTACCCATATACTGCACCCCATCTCCTTTACACCACAAAGCGACGCCCGCACGGCATTTTTCTTATCGACATCGATCCACGTATCTTATCGCCGTACCATTCTCACCTCTATCTTCAACAATGTCGCCCATTGCTCCTGGCCAGCTCCCGGCCGAGCTCGTCAACCTTCTCGCACTCCACTCGTCCTTTCTGACTGCCCTCTCACTACATTACGCGCACAATGGCGTCTCAACACCCGCAGATCTCCAAGCCTTGACTGCATCTACGACTCTGGTATGGCGCCAGCGCAAGGTTACTTACGATGACGTCCGGCTGCTCATCGGCATCCTCGATCACGGCCCTTCTGGCGCCAACAACCCCTACTACCTATCCGACTATGGCCATGGCAAGATTTGCATCGAGATTAAGGAAAACAGCCCAATGATGAACGGAATGACGCACATGAACGAACAAGGCCTGCAAGAAATGTTCAAGGAGGGCCTAGACACATTGTGGTCGCAATGGTGTGCATCGCAGAAGATGTCGGCTCGACCTATTGCCGTACCCAAACGCGGACGGGGACGCCCAAAGAAGACCGACGTCAAGCAAGCAACCATGGAGACTTTCCTCGACGACGCTTCCATCTCAAAATTCCTCAGCCAACTTCCCCTTGCCGAGATCACCACATGCGAATCGCTTATCGCACTTGCACCCTCACAAGAGAAAGGACGTAAGAGGCTGAGGGAGTTCAAGGAAAGCGTTCAGCAAGGACGTGCACAAAAGAAGACAAGGTCAGCGACAGACAAAGAAAACGAGTCTACTACAGGCCAAACCCAACAGACTCAACCTGCACAACCCAAAATCACCGAATTCGCTGCCGTTCGCAAAACCAATCTTCTCGACCGCATCCTCGCCAAACAAGAAGCCGCCAAAGCTGGACCCGCGGCCCCTAGTCCTGCCGAGCTCCAACGAAGAGCAGCACTGCAACGTACTCCAGAAGTTATTGGCGTCCTCTCCCTCCTTTGTGCCAGCAAACCTGGATCTCGTGTTTCTTTCTCTACTACCGCTCTTATACAGGCCCTGCGAGGCTCCATCCGAACTCCCATCTCAAAAGACGAGGCAATGAAGTGTGTGGAAGTGTTGGCGAACGAGGTTGCACCGGGATACGTCTCCCTTGTCAGCATGGGAGCCATGTCTAGTGTGGTCATCAACCAGATGATGAGGCCAACGGATATAAAGAGCAGGCTTATAGCGCTGGGCGCATAATCACCATATCTTCTTCTTACTTCATTTTTTGTATAACTACCGACTCACATTGCCAGCGAGCGATGCTTCAGCACTCTTCAGCGTTTTTCTTTTCGGCCTTTTCTTATACCAGCCTTTCTTCTAGCCGACCTGTTGAATACGGCATTATCCAGCATCCATGGGAGCGTTCTTGTTTGTATAATGAACTATGCCTTTAATTCACGTATCAAATATCATTAATGACACTCTTGTGTGTACCATGTCTCTGTATTTACTATATGCCCTGTATTCCCTGTGATGGAAATCGGACGAGGGACACACTCAAAACTCCCACGCCAATAACGTCAGGATTGCCAATCTCGAATTGGCAGCTTGCCAGCATACCTAGCTTGCTAGCGCCAACCCAAGTAAAAAGCCTTGCAACAGGAAAAAACCCCAGTCGCTTATCTAAACAGAGGTACCCACTTTCGTCGTCTTGTCAACATCCCAGCATCAACTACTCCAGCTTACATTCAATCTCCACACTACATCTTCCAATAACCCAATCCAAACACAACCATACATCCCAACTCATTCAATCACGGGAAAGAAAGCAAAAAAATGTCACCCTTCTCCCGCATGGCCCGCATGCTTCTGATCATGCACTCCCTCGTCAACATGGCCCTCGGCGCATACAGCTTCGTCAACACGCAAGAATACGCCGCTATAACCGGCGTAGAAGCTTCGGATCGGGCCTTGCAATCAATCGGTAAATCCACCCAATTTCCCTCCCTTTTCTTCATCCTACATACCAGTATTATCTACTTTGCTTTTGTCAAACAACCCCGTTGCTAACACTAATTCTGTGAAAAAAAAGGACTTGCTACTGTAGCAGTGGGATGGTACCAACTCATTTTCACGCTGCAGGGAAATAGGCTTATGATGGCATCTACGATACCGCTGAGATGCGGCTTTGCTGCTGTCATGGCAACGTGGGATAAGACGCCGCTGGTGCTATATGAGATTTGCGTAGTATGGTTTTGTTTGCTTGCGGTCTTTGCGTAGATTTTCTTTTTTTTCTTCATCATATCATCTATGTGTGGAATTAGATATTCCGACGGGTATGACATATCTTTCGGAGTGATATAGAAAAAAGTTTACGAGAATGACAAGAGAAAAAGAAGAAGGAGATTTATCTAACTCCACTTCACGCTTCCACCGGCTTTTTCTTCGAGACTCCATCCACCATATGTATCTACAAAGCCTTCTCGCGTTAGATACTCCTTGTGCTCCTCACTTCTCCACGCCAGCGTTGTGCCGAGCTTCCAGCTCGTGTCCAGCTTGTCCAGCACCAACTCTACAAGCTGCACGTTCTCGGGTTGCTGCACCTGAGGTTTCGCCAGGATAGCGGTGAGTTCCTCCTTTGTTGCCGCGCGGTGGAACGACGAGGCCGGGTCTGGGTGGTGGTACAGGGGGAGGAGGTGAGAGTAGTTGTGAGGGACGATGTCGTTGTATGCTAGAAATTGTGAGTGAAAGAAAAAAGCGAGATGAGGAAAAGGATACTTACGCTGTCGAGCACCCCAAATCAATCGCTCAATGGTATATCCCTCGTTGTTGATGACAAATATTACAGTCTTGCACTTTGCCTTGATCATGGTGCCAATCTCCTGGATTGTCAATGCCATGGATCCGTCGCCAGTAACCAGTATCGTCCTTCCCTTGTTACGCTTGTTCGCTGCCTCTAGCTCGCGCCTTGCCAAATCGGCGCCCAGCGTGGCTGCAGTCGCAAAACCAATGCTGCCGTAGTAGATTTGCGTTACGAGAGTAATGTCTTTGGGGAAGGTGATATCGCCGATTCCGGGGTTCGAGGTACCTGTTTCGCTGATGACGACGTCACCGGACTTAAGGAAGGCTTCTATCGTGGGCCAGAGCCAGGATTGCGTTAGGTGCTTGGCATCTGCATCCAGAGGGGTGCGTGGAGGGGGAAGCTGTGGCTTGGCTATTGAGTGTTTGGCTGGTGAGGGGAGAGAAGCAGATAGAGCGGCGAGGAGTGGTTGTATGGAGGTGGATGGATAAGACGTGCCCTTGACCTGAATTCTATTATTAGTACCAAAACACTAAATGCAAAAGCTAATGTTGGTAATTGGAGGAACTTACAAGAACATCGAAGGGGTTGATGTGGATCACTTTCCCTTCGTCCAACTGTCTCGAGAAACCAGCCGTGTTGGTGTCACATGGGACATATCCCAGCGTTATGACCAGATCAGCGGCTTTTGCGACTTCCTTGACACCTGGAGTACTAATTTCGCCATTCCATACGCCGACAAATGTCTCTTCGGTCTCGTCGACGATGCCTTTGCCCATGTTTGTCGAGAAGAACGGAACATTGAGCTTCCTGACTACCTCTTGAGCTTCTTTGATGGCACCGAACCGGTGCACAAGCGCATCTACTACGATGGTTGGTTGTTTGGCCTCAGCGATAGCACTGGTAATAGCATTGATTGCCTTTTCCTGTGCCTTCTCATCGACTTGTGGGGCCAGGTCGATTTTCTTGTCCAGTAAACTCTTGTCCACCAACTCGGCACTCAGATCCAATGGCAAAAAAATGTACACTGGCCCGCTCTTGATCACACACTCTCGGAGTACGCGGTCAATCTCGCTTGGCGCATTTTCAATGTCCCAGAGCTCTGCAGCGGCAAATCGTAGCCCCTCACTAGCCTTGTTGTATACTTGGTGATTTGGCTTCGTGCCAATGCTATGATGAATCATCATATGGCTCTTCTGCATCGCGCGCGTAGTTTGTCCTACAACATGTATGACCTTTACGTTCTCAGACATGCTGCCCGCAATACCATTCAGTGCGCTCAATTCACCGACACCATGAGTGGTGACGAAACATCCGGGCACGTTCTTGATGCGGGCATAGCCGTCTGCGGCATAAGATGCATTCAGCTCATTTTGGTTGCCAGTCCACTTCAGGCCATCGACGTGGAAAATATGGTCGAGAAATTGGAGGTTGAAGTCGCCTGGTACACCGAAGATCGTGTCAACACCGATTTGATGGATACGTTCCCACATGTAACGCCCGAGGGGGATTTTGTTTTCCGCCATGATGGGTAGGCCTAGCTATTGCTTTGCTCTAATGTTGTTACACAGTTGGCAATGTTTCTGTTGTCTTTGGGTGGTTGTCTTGGAGATTATTAGTGCGTTGGCCTAAGAGTGTCGTAGGGCGTGATAGGTAGCCGGTAACCCTGGTAAACGTACTATAAACTTGACCCCGCAAAGACTTGGGTGTGACAATGTATGTAAGCGATGTCTTGGATGACGACAAGAACGATACACAACTAGAAATAAATACACAGTAGCAACAAAGGTCAAGTAGTTTGGAGCTAGGGCGCGTAGGGCGTAATGACTGACAACCGCGGGTCGGTTGGACACGGTTAGTTGATAGTGTAGTGCGGGGAGCGGCCTTGTATCGGAATGCATCAGCTGGGTTCGGAACACCAGCTGCATTCGGGACACCAGCTGGTTTCGGAGCACAAGCACGCTCGGAGCACGGAAATATGTTGATTGTCGCAACTGTCACACTGAGAGAGCGTCACTGAAGATTTTCTGCAATTTTACAGAAAAGAACATGATTTGTTTGTTCTGCTGAGACACTTTGCTCTGTCGTCCCCGCAACTTAGTGCTTCTCCGCATCCTTGAAGCTCGCCATCTTAAAGTCATACGGCAGCTCAAAATCTGCTTTCGGGTCACCCTCAAAAGGCTTGAAGTCTACAACGAGTGAATCCTTGACTGCGAAGACTGCATCATCGTCAAGGTACTTGCTCTTGCGGTCGAAAATTTGCGTAACAACAGGCTTGTAGCCAGGCGCCGTAAGCAAGAAATGTATATGTGCCGGTCGCATCGGGTGCCTATCGAGCGCCTGTAGAACCTTTCCGGCCGGACCATCGAAAGGAATAGGATATGGTACAGGCCGCAAACAATAAAAGCTGTATGTCCCATCCTTTCCAGTTGTGAACCTTCCCCTAAGGTTCATATCTGGTTGATTAGGATCCTGCTGCTCATACAGGCCGTTTGGTGCCGTGTGCCAGACATCTACTACTGCGCCTTCAATGGGTTTTCCAGTTTTGAAGTCGGTGACTGTTCCATGCATCCAAGTACGGTCGCCTTGTTCGTTGATTTCCTTTGACACGATACAAGACCCCATGGGTAGCTCCGGTGCGTTTTCTCGGTAGAAGGGTCCCAAGATGGCAGTAGCAGTAGGTTCATCTGCAGCTGTGGAAGCGAGCTTGTATGTTATCTCATCGACAAGAGACTCAAGGCCGAGAACATCGCAAAGCAGCTGGCCTTCATTGCGTTTAGAGTCGGACATGCGACCTGCTTCGTTTATCTATTCACCCTCAGTATGTGTCAGATAGGATACATGCTAGATGTGTAGCCTGAGAAGACGTCTAGACGTACCAGTTGAACACCTGCCATCCACTCATCAACCGTGAGCTCATTCTCTCTCGCGAAATCGTGCAGATGCCGTATCAACCCCGCCGCAAGCTGTCGGACCCGAGGAGTAGCATTGGGCCCTGTCGCATTAATCACTGCATCCGTAAAGTTTGGGTTGAATTTGTGTTCCTTGCTACCAGATACTGCTGAGTTTGCTTCACTCATCTTGTCTTGGTGGTTTGTATAGTATGTAATGTAGTGCTAGTGTATGCAGATCAAGAGATGTGGCGCCTTCAAATACGCGCTGGAATTGCTTTGCATAGCGAGGCCAACTCCGAAGTAGGCTGATAGTAAACAGAGAAACGTGATCAAGACCCGCCAACCGGCAACATATCGGCGGCTCTCATGCACACCGGCGTAGACCAGACGCAGATAGCCACCAAGTTGTCGACAGATATGTACTCGCTACAGCGCGGCACGGGACAACATTGGATAGCGGGGTCGTAGAGTGATACTTTGCAAAGTACCGACATGAGTTACGCCAGGGATAGCAACTATCCGATCCAGGTGCACCATCCGATGCCAAAGTTACAGTTAGCCGACGAATGCCAATAGGTGCAATACGAGACTGGTAGTCAGCATGAGCTCAGCAACTAGGGAATGGGGCTGCTGGTTGACGTCAAGGGTAATGCTAGACATGCACATATTACCCAGCACGTTTCCATGGCCAATTTCCGCTATTTTGAGAGGTTCGGTGCACATTCAGATATTGAATATTAAAAAGACCAGAAAACTCGGCCTCTGTGATCGCTTCTAATGCTCGTTAAAGACTGCAACAGCAATCTGTACTGTGCCTAAAAAAAATCCAAACGCCTATGGTAATACTTTGGGTTGCTCAATCACTGTCATCATCCACCCTGGCCCGTTTTGTTGACCTGCCCTCGGGCTCTTGGATGCCGTATCGCTTTTCGCCCTTCTTCTCGCCCCGAACCTCGTCAATCATCTGGTTAATGTTGAAAGGGTCGTCGGTATCCTTCTCGAACTGGACTGGCCCATCTCGAGCTTCTTGTAGATCAGCACCCTTGAAGCCCTCCTTCGCCTTGCCCAGAACTTCAAATTTGCTCGTCTTTGTGAGCCTGTCGTACGTCTGCCCGTCATCCTCTCCGTCATCTTGTTGTACACTCGGGCGGTAGATGCTGCTTATTGCGTCTTGAGCGGCGAACAGGGGCTTATCGTAATGGTTGTCCTCGTTGAAACCAGCATTGAATCCACTCGACTGATTGAACAACCGAGCATCGTACATGGACTCTCCACTTTGTGTTGGCTTTGCCAGACCAAGAGCAACCTTCTCTGAGATATCGCGGTTCTGTTCGCGGGCAAGCATCTGAATCTTGCGCTCATTGCCCATGCGCGACTGGCGGAGTTCACGCTGCAAATCCTCGCGACGCTCCTTGCGCGCATCCATTCGCTTCCGCACCTCTTCCTCCTCCGAGTCTGTTTCTGAATCGCTCTGGGATCGCCTTCGGGAGGCGTTCGCACGGTCTTCTCGAGCCTGTTTTGCCAAGTTGCGCAGGTGCTCCTCCTTTTGCAGCTTTTCCTTCTCTGCCAAGCGCTGTTGCATGATGGCGCGCTGCTTGACTTCCTCTCGAGCATGCCTGTCTGCAGCCTGTAGAGCCTCGCCGAATTGCGCAAACTTATCGTTGATTGTGATATCCTGGAGACCACGCCCATCAGCTGCCAGACGCTTATCTAGAGGCACTGTGTAACCCTTGGGGTTCTTCCAGTTACTAATGGGAGGCGGAATCTTCCACATCTCTTGATCTTCGGCGGTCAGTTTTCGCGGCGGAGAGTGAAGAACGGGCGGCGGAGGAGATGGCGGTCCACGAGGAATACGTTTGTGCTTGAATTTCGGTGGTTCCATGGGATCGATCTGTCGCTGTTGAATCTTGAAGATGCGCGTCTTTCCCTGGGCCTCGCCCATCTGTGCGGTCGGAGTGTATCGCACAAAGGTGGGCTCATCGTCTTTCCGACCCTGTACGTTCTTTGGTCGCTGCGCAGCAGTCTGTCCTGCCACCAGAGCCATGAGTGCCTGTTCGGTCTTCTCTTTTGTTGCCTGTACCACTTCCTGGCTCGGACGCGACAAATCCAGCTCGCCAGCATCTGCCCGTTGACGTAGCGGGATCAAATCTTTAAAGCTCGCCTGTACGATCCTTGAGTCGCCGTGTCCGCGCCTCGCAATCTCATCGTACTTGGTCTTGCCCTCGCCGTCGACTCTCCTTACGAGGGCATTGGATGTGGATGGTGTGCCCTTCTTGCCCATGTCCAGTGGGTACTGCGCGACGTGAACCTCTGGAAACGCGCCTCCATCGCCAAAGTCCTCGGGCGCGCGGGGCCTCCAACTTTGCCTGCTGCCGTATGCGGGTGGGCCATTCTGCTTTCGTGCGACCTGCGCTTCGTACTGCTCGGAGCTCAGCACACGCGTGCTGTTGGTGAGTTCCTCCTCCTCACCCGAGTATTTCGGCTTGGGCAGCGATTTGGACAGCGTCGCGACAGACATATTTGATGGTTATGGGGGGTCAGAGTTGGGTATCGCGACCGTAGAGATGTGCCTGGGCGGAGGCGATGGCAAGACAAGATTATTTCGTCGGGCTGGTCGGCGGGCTTGTTCTGCCGTAACCGCGTCACGTGATCTGGAGCCTGGCAGGGCAGGATGGCGGGAGGCGCCATGGCGATGTGCCTCGAGCCTTCACCGGAGTTCCCACTGGGCCTCCACCCTGATGCATACACACGCAGCCAGTCACTCTGTGCCAAGTATCATGGTTTTTTCTGGGTTCATGTCACGAGTACGCGTACTACATACGGACCAAGGGTTTGTTTGGCGTCTTACACCAATGCCAATCTCCTTTTATACACACGACGCTACCGGGCTTGCATAAAGCATAAATTGCCAGAAACATCAGTGTCATATCGGCCGTGCCAGCTCGCTTAGGCGCTTCGTGGATGGCATCACTGCCCGGGGATAGCGAATGCAGGAACAGGGTCGGTCATGACAGCCACTCTGCAGCGCTCGCCCAATGCGGCTTCGCTCGTCGCCTCGAGATGGGACGGGACAAAAAGAAAGCAGCAGGCGTTGGAGAAGCAGCGGTGTGTGCTTCGTTCAGGAGGAGGGTAAGATTAGGCGTGAGCAGAAGCTCATTTAAGAGCGAGGGACGGCGAGTCAGCGGGCAGACGGGGCGGCGCAGGAGAGGGTTGCAGTTGTGAGCAGCAGCAGCAGCAGCGCGCAATCGCTGGGTAAGCAGATGGCGATGTGGTGCCGTTGCCGCCCGTCCGGACGTTGAGCACACGGTCCCTCCCGGGCTGGTAACGATGGAGGCGGTGGAAAAGTTTAGTAGGAGGGCGGGTATAGCGGGTGCTATAGGTGGTGGGCGACGGGTATAGCATAGGGCTGGCTGCACATCATTCGCTCTCTTGAGGGGGCAATGTGCCATGTCGTGTAAAGGCCCGGCCACCCTAGCAGCAAATGGGCCAAGGTCGAGAATACTGGCCATGTGCAGCGCCGCAGCGTCCCAGCATCTTCCTTTGAACAGCAAAGGCACTATGTGCAATTTACCAAGGCGTACGCGCAGTCTGTGGGCCCCCTTCGTAGCAGCCATGGCAGGCTGAGTGTGCGCTCTGAAACGTTGCCCGTCATCCCTGTCTGGTGTGTGCCAGCGCACCTGGATTCCTGCAGCCATGCCGACCCATTCTCGGAAATCGTCTGGAGGAGCCTTACAACAACAACAACACCAGCACCAGCAGAACCAGCACCCGCCCCAGCTGCGTCAACCACAACCACAACAACTCGACCCCTCCCGGCGCAACACGCTGACCGCGCACACGTCGCCCGCCCCCAAGCCCACACGCCAGCGCACAAACACAAACCCCGAGCCCCCGACCCTGCTACGTCTGCCCTCGACCACCTCGTCCTCGTCCGCTGCCGCACGTCGGCCCCCGGCCTCCCATAGTGCCCATGGCATAGACAATTCGCGCGGCCCTCCCGTCACCCTAGTTACGCGCAGCCGGACCTCTCAGAATCCCGCCGATCTCACCTATGCGCACCAGCAGTTCTCTCCCACCGCACTGGCATCGCACACTGGCCCGACCCCATTGAGCAAGCGACGCGGGGAGGAAGAAACGGGCAACTGGAACGGCCCCCCGCAAAAACAACACCACCAGCAACCACAACAAACAAGCACCACGGCGTCCCCAAGCCTCCTGCGCCCGCCCGCCCCCAGACGCAATTCCACCGCCAGCTCCCGGCCTCCGCCCCGACGAATGGCCAGCTCCACCGAGTCGTCCGAATACGATTCTGGTCCCCGCAGCCGGATGGAGGACTATCATGCGGCGCATAGCGGACGGGGAGCGCCTGCGCCCGTCACTCCAGGCACAGATGGCGAGAAGGAGGACCTGTTTCTAAACATTGCCGCAGATAGTGCGCCCAAGCAGCAACAGCAGCAGCAGCGCCCGGCAGAGACCACGGCGCGGATTGACCGGTTGAAGGTGAGACCCCCCAGTCTTCAAAATGTTTTCAGATTGCAGCGACATGCGCGTACCATGGCGGTTTTCCAGTGTAGCTGAATCATCTATCCCCCATGCGCCGTCAACACTATGTACAGGAAGCTGACCACCACAGTCTCGAGTCGCCAGAATAAATGAACGACAGTCATACCCATCAGCTCTCCAGACGCCTTCGCCGTCGCAATCTAGCTCTGCCACAGCAACTTCGAGCCGCATACCCTCTGTCGTAGACGCCAGGTCAGGTGGTCTCCGTCGAGGCTCACTCCTGCCCACTCCCTCCCGCTATGAGCGGTCCCAAAATTCGCCAGCACCCGAATCAGCACACCGGACGCCTCAACTATCGCACAAGGCATCTTTGAGTTCGGTACGGAGGGATTCGGACCTCTCACCACGCGACTTCCTGGCCCAGTTCTCCTCAACAAGGCGCGCATCTCAGCCAGACGTCACACCCCCAAGTCGCACACCCCTCCAGCCATATAGGCCATCGAATCTTTCCCATGAACCACGCACACCCCACATAGAGACATCATTTGAAGCTGCTTCGCGCGCCGACGGTACCGAATCGCATGGCTCTACGGGACCTGCGGCGTCCGTATGGGACGAACTGGATGAACTCAAGTCCCGGATACGCAAGATTGAAATGGGAGGCAAGATACCCTCAACGTCTGGCGCAATCGTATCTCAAGCGTCGGCAGATCGCCCACGGACAGCGAATACTTCAGCTACGACTGTGTCCTCATCGCCAAACCAACAGCGAAAGGCCAATCTGTCTCCGTCTGACTCTACAGTCGGCGCACTTACCCCTAACGGCAGCTATAACAACAACAACAAAACCCATCCGCTTTTGAGGGAGGCGCTAGCCAAGGCCCGACAACACATATCACCAGCAGTGTATCGCACGTTGGAAGCAACAGCACAGGAGGCATTAGCACTTGCTGAAATGAGCGGTAGTGCTGGTCCTCAGGGCACACTTCATTCGGCAAGCACCATCGCCAATGGTGCAGTCGTGTCTGACCGCCAAGTTCGGCGCAAAGCTGACAACCTTTGCCGGAGTTTGACCGAGCTGTGTATAGCCCTGTGTGACACCAAGACAGGCTTCGCCAGTCCTGCTTTTCGGTCAAGTACGGCCACACTTTCTCGTCGGCCAAGCGTGCAGTTCAACGGTGAATCACCAACCATACGAGAAAGTATCGAACCCGAGAGCAACACATTGTCTGGTGTTAGCCCCAGCAGAGCAATGTCTCGCATAGAGGCTCGAAGGAGCAGTATGCTTGCCGTTGGAACTGGGGGTAATCAACGAGAAAGCAGTCAAGAGCCCTACGACGAAAGGCACCTCGCCTCACGACTCCAGCGAGCAGGCACAAGTCTCCATCGTGCACGCAAGAGTACCGAGGAAGATGACGATGACACAATATTATTCCGCGCACCATCTCGTGCAATGACGTCGATTGACTTCCGGTCGCGGCAGCAACAAAATGAGAGCAACCGGTACAGCACCGGTCGGCAGATTGGTTCTCGCGAGCCAATGTCTGACCTGCAGCCATCGCCTGCTATTCAGACGACATCGCACCTTCGTCGGCCCAGTGTTTCGAGCAGTACACCGTCGAACGAGCACAGTCTCTTGTTCCGTGACCAGAATCGTTTCGGCCACAATCTAGGCCGAGAGGGATCTCCAGCCCATTTCGAGAAGCCCTTGTCCGCCGGTCTACGAGCTAGAACGCAATTGAGCGTTGCCCGAAACCCAAGCAACCGACATTCAGTGGGTGGCATAACGGACCTCGGTCGCAATGTCAGCCTTGGTAGAAGGCTGAGAGGATCCAGCACTGGAGAGTAAGTAGACTAGAAGCTCTATACACAGTTCCAGCACGGAGTGGACGTTGGACGCATGGCATGATATAGAAATGCGGGTCAGTCAAAAGCTTGATTTTCACACGCGGCAAATGCCTGAGAGGAATTCTCAGAGTGAGCAGATGCAGCAGTGTTGCACACGTGTTCCTGGAAAGACAGATACGGAATGTTTGTCGTCGATTTCTTTTCTTTTCTTTTTCACATTTTCTTTGTTTTTCTAGCATCTTCAAGGAGCATCTGTGGGGATTGTATAGGCGCCGAAAAGTCGTTATGGCATTTGGCAGCATGAACTATATAGGGGGGGTTAGCTGAGTGCTTGTTATCCAAGAGCCATCGAGGGTTATCATGCGCGGTAGGCGCAGCTGGTCCTCCGTCACCAGCACTCTCTTCACACAGCTGATGACCGTTCGGTGTCTTTTGTTCTCTTTTTGTGTGTGTGTGTGTGATTTTTTTTTCCTTGATAGTTCATATACCACTACGTATCTCTTTGACTTTTCTTTCCACTTGTAAATAGTATCACCTTTTTCGAGAATCGTTTTGTTGTGCTCATCTGCATATGTCTAGTGTGGGTGAAAGTGTGCTTTGGGAGGCAATTTCCCTCTTTCTGAATTCTCTTGTAGGCGATTGGATAGTGATACGGTCGACGTATTCAAGTCGGGCAAGCGCTTTGTCACCTTGCTGTTGCTACATGGAGCAACTGCGTGAGTGAGGGCTCTTGTCAAAACATTGATAATGCATCTGGATACTACGAGGTAACCGCAACCCTGTTTCAATGCATGTCTTACACGAGTAATGCGCGAAGCAGGCGTTTGGCGGCTCTCGCTCTGAGGAATGCTCAGTACCTTGGTTCTCACTCTCAGTGCCACATAAACACGCGCAGCAATACCACTTATATTGTACACACCGCGCACATAGTCACTCAACAGCCCGAATCATCATAATTACTTTACGAATTCTCGAAAATATGATTGGTATGACGTAATATAGAAACCATTGGGAAGTGGCCTGATTGTACATAATAACGGCACTCAATAGCTTCCTCAACTGTGGATGCCCTTAGAGACTGGTGAATCAGCGAGCTCGCATAACCAAATCTAAAGAAATCACTGGATTGACTCACACATATTCCCACAATGTAAAAAGAAAAGCGTCAGAGTGATTATCTGTTCTTGGCCCTTTCACTGTTCAGCTCTCGCTACTTCAACTGTGAATGCAGCTACGTGTGCTGTGTTGGAATACAGTTTGCTTCCCCCACAACAACGCGCTTGTTCCCCATCACCGGTACAAAGAGCTCCCCTCTCACTCAAGCCTTGTACCTACCTAGACCTCGACTATCAGTTATTTGTTTCTCAGCACCCAGTCCTCTGTCTCGACAGCAACAAACACTGTCTCTCAGCCTAGCCACCGCCTGCCATCATTCACTACCGACGCAAACCCGCATAAAACTTCCACTTTCACCGCAGCAAACTCATATCAGAGAACAAGTGTTCTTGTTCACTTTAGTGTATCTCCAGGCAGCGCTGGCCGAATTGTCAGGTACCAACAATCACTTTCTTTGCACAGAGAGCTATTCCTTACAACGTAACCAGCGCTCCAACCTCTTCCAACGATACGATGGTCGAAGGAATACCTAAAGACGTCATGAATATTCAAGAGGAGAAAACCGACGAGCGCAACCCGGCACAGGTCACTACGCAGGTCGCACCTTCTTCACTAGCACCATCCTCCCCGCTCCACGTCCATGCCGAACCTCAGTCAAAATTCCGCACAGCGCTAGAGTCTGCAGGCTCAGCATCTAGTGAAAGCACCCAAATAATGACTGTTGCTAATACTCAAAACGCCTGTTCTGACTTGGGCACGCCAGCGTTGGTTGTTGACTCGCCCAGGGGCACTGAAGCACATACCCAGGCACAACTTCAAACCCACTCACCACCTGTGACTGAGATTTCTCTAGTCTCAGAACTTGAGGGATGTCTGGAAGAAAAAGCGCAACTACACGAAGATGCACCTGTCCCTCACACGACCTCGCTCACTACACCCCCAAGTCAGGATCAGGATGACAAAACGACCATGACGCCACCAGTTACCCCCCCTCGGGGTACGCAGAAGTCCTCAGCATCTGTATCTACGCCCAAGAGTCCCACGGCTCATACAACAGCTACTACGGCTCGGTCATCTGATCAAGTAGTTTCCCCTCTTGCAAAGTTCGATAACCGATCTAGAATAGCAAAGCATGCGCGCTTCGAGCTCTGCAAAATCTACGAAAATACACGACACAGCATGCGCTATAAGACTCTCAAGATGTTCGTGATCGGTTCACGTGGATTCGAGCGCGCTCGTTTACTACCCACAAGGCAGACAAGGCCTCCACTGCTGAAGCGGCGGTATAGCATCGATGTCAATACTACGGGAGACTGGGGCACCTGCTTCGCAATGAACTGGAAAGAAACAGAGATCACGGTTCGCATGGTTCATTCACCTGAAATAGTAGCTAAACAATGTGCTAACGTGCAACAGTGTCCGCGTCGTCAGTACATATCTCTCGACTTGGAACCTATACCCATTCTTTTCCACTGGAGTTTTATTCCTCATCCTCGTCGGTATTCCGCATTCAGCACAATGTACCAATTGAGCCCGCCGTTTGATTCCAACGTGTATCTCAAGCTGGGGGATATCACAATTCAAAACGATGCTTTCTACCATATCAGGAGTACAAGCTGGAACCATGGCGAGCCTTGGATGCGGGACGAAAGTCTAGACATGGCTCTGGAAGTCCTCTGTCGAGATTACAACTGTGAAAATCATAGAATTGCAATCGCCAACTCCATGGTTTCACAAATATGCCTTTTCGCCGCAGAAAGCGAAGATAGCAATCCCCAGGAGTACGCGCAGTATAGAGCCCGCTTCGAGACCAAGCAATGGATTTTTCTTGTTATCAACGATGCAATCGGTAGCGTTGAGAACAATTGCTTGCAAGGAAATCACTGGTCGCTTATCGCCATGGACAGGATACATTGTACAGTCTCGTACTACAATTCTCTATTTCTTGACGACGAACAATCTCGACACCTTGGTTTTCAAATCGGTCGAGGCATGCTGAAAATCCTCGGAGAAGACGTCAGGAATTGGCGATATCGAATCCAACAGTATACCCCACATCAGGACCACCACAACCAGTTCGATTACGATGATGGCGCATGTGGACCTTTCGTGTACAAGATGGCGGAAGTACTGATCAGGCGCATCAAACGTCACCAATTGTGTGGTGATGAAGACGAGTGCTCCCTTGAACTGAGTGAAGATTTCCCGATGGATTTCAAAAACCAGTTTCATTCGTTCCTAGTTCGTTGCGAGATACAGAGGAGGATTGCCTGCTGGAAAGCCATCATTTATACGCCTACTTTCGCATATGACCACGACCAGGAGGCCATACGTGGCGAATGTGTTGAACTAGACGACAGTCCGGTTGTTAACTTTGGAATACCGCGCCGACCAGAAACACCTGTAGACTGGTTTGTCTCCCTGGAAAATCAGAACTATAACATGCTCGAAAACAGTAGCGATAGCGACAGTAGCCGAGGAAGCTGCTTGAGCGAGTCGACTATAGTCTTGGCGCTATCGCCTGATCCACAGGAGATTTATGCTGATGGGGATACTAACCATGACCAAGACGAAGACCGTGGCGGTAGCATTCTCGGTCTTGGAATCACTCACGAGGAGCCCATCCCTGATGGCATACAGAGTACTACAAACTCGCCCACACCATCCACTGCCGAAGATGATCAAGAAGAGACTGCTGGACTTGTCTGAAGCAGCCCACTGGCGAAATATTTTTTGATACCGCTCGACTGGTTTGAGGGAAAGTTATAACGGAGGTAGTTTCTTTTCAACTTGGATTGCTTGTGCTGTCTACTCACAAAATAGAAAAAAAATTAAAAAATTGGATGTACCATGAACTTTGTTATCGCTGCGTCTTGCAGTACTATACAAGTTGGACTTCTCCGGCCTTGCTTTTTGCAAGCCATCTTGTTGCTAAGGCTATTGCTGGCCACCTGGTACTAACATTCAAGGCACCAGACTGAGTAGAAGAGTCATGTTCCTACAGTCGGAGCACGGCGTTGTATTTAGTTTCGGAATAAAACTATTGATCATACTGTAGAAGACGCAGATGCCCAACATGTGAAAGTAGACCGGGATATCTCATTCCTAAACGACTAGTATTTCGCTCATACCTTGGCCTTGGCTACCTGCGACTCCGATCGCCGTCAAGACATGTCTTACAGCTGTGGCGCGCATCTAGGCGCACACAGCCACCCACCGTCCCGCACCCACCTTCCCATTCCCATTCCCATTTGCCTCCCCTTCAAAGACACTCATACCTACCCAACCGCATCATCATCATCACACACACACACACCGACATGCTGCGCAAAAAAAACCCAGCAAATCACCTAACCCAACACAGGCAGGTTGTTGTTGTGAATCAGCAAGTTTTCCACGCTGCAGGCGACCGCGGGACGATCATTCGGTGAAGGGTCAAACCCCTTGGAATCGAGTGGTTCAGATGACGTAGGACCCACCCCCCTTGTTCCAAAAAAACGCCGCGCATCAACAGCCCTCTTTTTTGATGTGTGTTCCCATGTAACCGGTTCGTAAAGTTGGCAATCAAGGACCCTGGGCATTACGTTGTTAGTAGCACACACGCCCCCCTGTCTGGGTGGCCCCCCTCCGGTCGCGACAAAGGGCCAGGCCGATCGGAGATGAGATCACTGTTGGCGTGCATGGCGTCGTATACACGGCATCGGAGGGAGAGTGGGGGTGTGTGGTTGGCTGGGCCAAGGTGGAAGGGTTGTGTAGGTTGGTCTTGAGTATGATGAATAGTGCTGCTTGTGTGTAGTATATATTTTGGTGTGTGCTTGTTTAACCAGACGGTTTTTTTCCTTTTCTCTTTCTTTCTAGTTCACCTGTGGTGAAGAAATATCAACTGATACCCATCCACAATCTATATTACAATACTACTTCGTATCTACACGATATCCTAAGGAGCATCTCTTTCTTCTCATTGTACTGAACACATTACGAATATATCCAAAATGGCAGACAACAAGCAACAACCAAAAACCTACAAACAAGCCGCAAACGACTACTATAACCAAAAATACGAAACCTGGATGCCCTGGATCGAAGATCAGTATCTAAAATGGTTCACAAAGGATAACAAGGCCAGCTACGCCGCCAAACGTACGTTTCCTTCTTCCTTCTTCCTCCTTCCTCCTTCCTCTCAAGCCTTTGTCACCGCAACATATCCGCTAACTCACGATCCCTTCAGAAAACCTCGACAAAACCAAAGTAACAGGCATCTCGCAAGTCGACAACCTCCAAGACGGCGTCAACGGCCTCGTAACGGGCCAAGTGGGCCAAGGCGGTCTCGCACAACCCATCGGTGACGCGTTATCGAAGGAAGGAATCAATCGTGCTGAGCGCGGCGGCAAGGACGAGCAGGGACGCCCGCTTGAGGGACAAGGGCCCCTGGGTGGATATGGTCAGAGTGCTGTGGAGGGGGTCAAGGGAGGGGCGGGGAGTGTGGCTGATGGTGCGAAGAGTGCGGGAGGTTGGGTTGGGGGGTGGGTTGGTGGAGGGGGTGCGAAGAAATAGGTCTACAAGGGGGGGGGGGGGGTGGATTTAACGCTTTTGATGATTTGATACCTTTGTAGGAGGAAGTTAATGCTCTGCTAGACAGGTGAGTTTGCTTTGTAATGTAGTTCTAACCGAACCTTTTCTTTTTCTTTTCAATTTTTGATATGCTGGCTTTATGTAATCGTGTGGTAGATCTAGCATGATTGACGTATGGATGTGTAGTGATTTTGATCACTTTTATTTTGATTAGTGTCTGGATTAGACTTCCTTCTTTCGTTTTACTCTAACTGTGGTGTTCATTGTTCAGTATGTCCTCCTACTTGTGATGTAATAGCATACGCATACGCATAACATTCACAGTGATTGTCTTGTTGTCTACACTAGACGACTTATCTGCATCCCTACTGTCGAATGTTTACGTGTAATTCACTGGATTTAGCTGGCCCCTAAATATGCTCATCCTGACGAAAATGAGACTGTAAATTTCTCAGTTTACTAGAGACAACAATATGTTACTTGAGCATTGAAGTGTCGTTACTGAGAGCAAGGCGATAGAGGTGTTGCAAGTCCAAGTGCAGTGTTGCTTCAAGTCTAGGTAAGATAGTAACTGTGCATCGAACGATGCGATCTTAGTAAAAGCAGACTTTGAGATCAAGGCGCAATTCCCATCAGTAGGGTTCCTAATACAAAAAATCCCTAGTGAGAGCAAGTACAGCTAGGGGCGATGACGAAATCAAGGCCGGGCGCATTCCGAGCGGAACGAAGCAAACGCGCTAACCACATTGCTTGGCGGTCGCGACTTTGGGGTCAATTCCATTCACCGCAGCAGTCGCGACGACACTAATCGGACAACTACCATCAGCGTCATTCCACCCCGCTCCATCTTCTTGGAGCTGCGCGCATGCTCCAAAGAATACACCCTCTTGCGCCTCCGCAGTAAAAAGAAATCACATACGAAACCATGGCCTCACCACCGCACATCCCTCAGCTCAACATGTCCAGCAACCGCAAGCGTGGCAGCATATCTTCGCACTCGGGCGCACCAGCAAAGAAGCGCAAGCCTTCGAATCTACGCAATGCCTTCTCTCCCGATGCCGAATCTATCGGGGGCTCGCCACGCCAATACTCGCGTTCACCATCGGTAGAAAGCAACATCACAACTTCCGTTATCAATGGTGTTGGAGGCAGCAAGAAGCGCCGTAAGAAGGGCGGCGATGGCGGAAGTGTCGCGGGATCGAGTGTAAGAGGAGGCAAAAGCGGCGATGGAAGGAGTGCAGTGGGAGGTGAAGATGAAGGAGAGGAAGAAGATGACGATGAAGACGAGATGGGCGAGGAGATGGGCATGGAGATTGAAGGTGGAATGAGTGTCGAAGCACGACGCAAACAAGAAAAAGAATACGAACGGTACGTTTCCTTCATCGAAATCCCATCCACCACACATTTCTTTTCAACTAACACCATGCCACTTCAGAATGCTAGAAGACTTCATGACGCCCGCGCAAATGGACCGCTACGCAACCTACCGCCGTATCCGCCTCAAGCGCGAAACCGTCCGCAAACTGGTCAACCAAACCCTCTCGCAATCCGTGCCCCAACCCATCATCATCGCCGTGACCTCGTACTCCAAAACCTTCATCGGCGAGCTCATCGACCGCGCCCTCACCGTCCGCGACGAATGGTCCGCCGTACGCACTCACCTGCCCAACCCAGACTTACCGGGCCCCATCCTAAGCCAGAGTCTAGGCAGGCCGAGCGCACATATCAAAGATGAGCGTAACAAGCCGACGAATACGGATATTCAAAGTGCAGGGTGGTACTTGAACCAGGTTGATCGCACGCAGGGTATATGGAAGGAGGTGGATAAGAATGCTAGTTTACAGGAGCGATTGCGCGCTTGTGACAAGGGGCCGTTGACGCCTGCGCACTTGAGAGAGGCACTCCGGCGATACAAGAGGGATAGGGATGGTGGTGGTGCGGGCTTTGCGGGTATGAGTCTGGAAGGTGTGGAGAGGACAATGGGCAGGACGGGTGGGAAGAGACTCTTCAAGTGAAAAAGCTACAAAGGGAAACTCTTTGTTACGTGCATGGCGATGGCGTTTTGGGGATACATCATTATATACGTATGGCGTTGGCATCACAAATGTACATTATGTTAGCAACATGGTTTTATTGCTAACCACAACAACTCTCGAAACATTTGCATACAATATTTGCATACTGCAAAGTGTGAGCTACCCCGCAGGAAAATTACATAGGGACGACATAAGGCCAGACAGGCCCGAAGAATATGAACAACAAGATAAACCACAGACGTTCAGGCATAGAGTCATCACACAGTCTTGAGCAATTGCATAAAGACATTATTCAGCCAAACATGGAAGCAACCTTTTCATGAGGTATTTTGTGAAGAGCTACATTTGTCATAGCCATTCATCATTCCAGTCCATCCCAGCCGAAGAGAGAACACCTTAGGAAATCATAACGCTAACCAACAACCATCTAGTTATCCTGGAGCAGCTCGTAGAAGGTATCGGCGGCAGGCTCGGCCTTGCCAGCCTCGATCTTCTTCTGGCCAAGCTTCTCCTTGGCGAAGGTAGCAGCGTAAGGGTTGAGGCGGAGCTGCACCTGGAAGTTCTTGAGAGGGTTCTTCTTCTGGGTGTGGCTGCGCTTAGTAACGGCTCCGCCACGGACGGGGCGGAGGACCTTCTGGATATCGCTGGAGTTGATGATCTTGCTGAGGTCGGGCTGGGCCATCATGGGGGATGGGAGAAGGAAGTCCTTCTTGAGCGCTGAGGGCTCAGTGGTGGATCCGTAGACCTTGTCGAGGGCGCTGAAAGCGGAAGAGGTCCAGACAATGAAGCGGCCAAGGTGACCACCGGGGGCGAGCTGGAGGAGGTTCAGGGAGTAGACAGATGAGGTCTCGACACCTGGGATGTTGCGGAAAGCAAGGACAAGCTCCTTGCCATCCTCATCAGGGTTGTAGATGACAAGAGGTCCACGGCGCTGCTTGTGGCGGCGACCACGGAGCTTACCCTTACCAGCGCGGAGCTTGCGCGAGTTGCGGGCCTTCTCAACATCAGCACCAGCACCGACGGCCTTGAGGAGAGCGACGGCAGCGGAGGTCTTCTTGATGGCGGCATCGGCGAAAGCAGTCGATGAGACGACGAGAGGAACCTCGGGGACGGTGCTGATAGCGTGGCCACGGGCAAGGAGAAGAGCAGGGCTTCCTGAAGCAGCGAGCGCAGAGGCGGTAGCGAAGCGCTTCTGGTTCAGGTTGATCTTCTGGTGCCACTTGCGCCAGACCTTGGTAGGAGCAAACATGCGGCCGGAGCGGCACATGTTGCCGAAAGCAGCCTGACCAGCACGGTGAGTACCACCACCAGAGACACGGGGGATACGGGCAACAGCGCGACCAGTACCCCAGGACTCGGCAGAAGTTTGGTGACCAGCCTTCTCAGAGCTGCGTGTTGTTAGATCAGTCAACGGTGCAGCTTGCGAGGAAGGCTTACACAGCGTAGGGCTGGCGGCGGTTCTTGTTCATGCCAGTGTGCACCGCGTGGACGACATCCGGGCGGATTGGGGCCTGTTAATCGTCAGAACTGAATATATTGATTAAGTGCACGATACTGTATGCTCCCAATGCAACACCAGAGTAGACCGAGAGAGCGCCATATTGATTGCGGAACCCAGAAGTTTTCGTCATGGCGCCGCAAGTACCCCATGAATGATCCAGCTCATTATATGCATGGAGTTTCCAGCCAACTTTCCAATCTTGCAAATCTCCCGTTTATACACATTCATTGTAGCTTCTCTCTCGATCTGTCCGTCGGGTTGCCGGTTGCATCGTATCGCGGATGTCGAAGTGCGACGGTGGAACTGACCTTGAAGACATTGGGGACGGGGATGGTGTCCTGGGTGACCTCGCCCTTGGCAGAGACGACGGTGACGGTTGGCCTCGACATGGTGGCTGTTGGGAATTGACCTGGGTGGTTAGTTGTCGCGAAAAGAGAAGTCGTCGGATTTTTGCGATGTTCTGAAGCGAGCGAATTTCGAGTGGGCGCGCTATGCCGCATTGGGACTTGGCGGCTTTTGAGTAGTTAGCGCTGCACTCATGTTCACCTGTGTTCGCCTGAGGCGAGACTGAACATCTCATGTGACGGGAGTGGTGATTTCGCAGGATTGTCTGCATAATCTTGTAATTATCCTGAGATGATGCACTATGGACGTGTATGCGCAGAGCTATCTAATCTTAGTCTGCCGTAGCAGAACAGGTCTCCACGAGCAGCTAGGCCTGACTACATGCGACGGTTGTCCTCATATGTAAGTAGTAAACAAGGTAAAGAAGCCTCCATTGTGACACCCTGGATCATTCTAGCCTCCCGAGGTTTTCAGACACGTCTTGGATTCGGAACGATCGTCCTGCCCTCGCCGGGTACTCTATGCATCTCCTTTAAAGTGGGTGAAATAAGCCATGCAAAATTGTAGGGATAGACCCAACAGTGTCTTTGGCAGCTCTTATTGCCATGACGACACTCGGGATAAGATCGATATCCTTGCAGATAACGTGTACAATACTTTACACAGTGCTTATAGCAGCACTTGCCAGGGGGCAAGAGATGATTCGATAGTGTCTTGAATAGTGACTGCCCTATGCTCGGTCTTTGACCATAGCGCAAAAACAAAAGAAAAAGCGTGGGTAGCTAGCGACGGTGATCTAGGGAACCATGCAGAGCAGCTAACAATAGCGTGTGTTGTGGTATTAAAACACGTGTTTGGCAGGCGGACCGTTAGTTGCTTGATGGGGGAGGTGAAGGATGTCATGCTGACTGTAGTTTCAATCCCTACTAGATAAAACTTGTCATCAACTAATTTTCGAGAAGCGTGTTCATGATAAAGTATAATGATGATATGGAAAGCATAACAATATGGAATGGGGGCCGGCCGGGAGTGGGCTGGTTCGTTAGTGGCTCGACGGGATATTTGTACGGAACATGGGAGAGTGAACACTGTGGATGAGCCGGGTGGATTGAAGGGAAAGCGAATATCGAATGGGCACGTGCCATTTTGTGAGGCAAGTCGATGGATCGCCACAGGGGTACACGAATCGCATTCGCGTTGGCAACTGAAACACACGTGGTGCAGGAGGACGGGATGGGGTTTAGGGAGCAGCGGAGGATGGGCGGGCTCGGGTCCGTGTATGTGGGAGGGCCAGAGAAAAAAGAAAAGAAAAGAGAGATGCGGGCGTGGCCAAAGGGTGTGAGTGCAAGTCAGCAGGCAACGTGTTGAAGAAACTCGCAAACTTGTCGTGATTGAGTTTGGGCGCTGGCAGGTTGTCTGGCTTCCGAAACCAAAGGGATGCAGGTGAAACCAGCAGTGGTGCTCACATGACCCAGAGGCAAATGACGCGGTGCGCTGCCGCCCTCTCACCCCGCCAACAGGTGGGTCGACGGGTATGCCATGTTGCGTTTCACGTCAGAGATGTCTGGTCCGACTGTTTTGCGTGCCTCGGTGCGGTGCGGTGCGGTGAGGTGAGGCGAGGTTCAGTGGGAGGCGCGGCAAGGCGACGGCGACGGCGAGCGCTTCAAGTCGATGGCAGGCCGAGGGGCGGGCGAGGACAGAGAGAGCTGTCAGCGGTGGCTGCACCGGCGACAGGACGGCACAGGCCCTCCAGCCTCGTTCCAAGGTTTGTCGTCTGGGCCTGCCCGCCGCTGGAGATGGGGGGAGGGTTCCAGGGGGAGATGCTGGGCGACGTCGTCCCAGCTGGGCAGGCTGGCCGGGGGTTCGCCAGCGGCCAGCCGTGCGGCCAGTGGTGGTGCAGAGGGACGGCAGCCAATGGGAGCGGGCTGCAGGCTCAGGGCCGGTGGCTGATGGCGAAAGGGCAGTTGGAGGACAGAGAGCAGTGGACAGTGGGCGTGAACGAGTTCGCACCGCCCAAACTGCTCGGCGGGCGCGGTGGACTGGCCTGGACAGGACAGGACAGGACAGCAACAGGACAGCGACGAGGCAGTCATGGCCCAGTAAGGCGGCGTTGGCTGCGTGGGAGGCGGGCAGGCTATGGCGTGCTAGTGGTCGCAGCTGCCTCGTAGCGCACGGCTGGCGGTTGCTATTTTGGACGTCGGCGCTTGCACACAGCAGCCACGCCTAGCGTCCCTGCCCTGGCTCCTCTCTCCCCCATGGACAGTGAGCGACGCATTCACGCCGCCTCAACACTCGACCATCGCCTGCTCGCCTGCCCGCCTCTCCCCTCTCCCCTCTCCTCCCCCAAACACCAGGCGGCAGCGGCTCTGCCACGACCGGCTTCCATCGTCCCCTCCCAAGCTGGTCACCACACCCTGCACAAGTCTCCGCATCTGAGCCCGTCGCTCGCCCTCTGTGCGTTTGTGTGTGTCGCAGTGTACAATTCGTGGCCCTCTCTCGCAAACACCACCCACGCCCGCCTCGACGACCCGTACCCGCGCCATCACTCGACTTTTTCTGCCTCTCCGCGCCGCTTTCTCCCAGGCATAGGCGCATCGCCGGCCCAGTCGCTCCTTCCCTCAGGCGCTTAGTCGAGGATCTGGTATTCTCGCTCCCATTCACCACCACCACTGCCACTACTGCCACCACTGCCGTCGCCGCTGGCTACTAGGTAAGCTGCGTCTTCTCTTGTCCCCATCACCCCTGTACCCTATGCCCTCGCTCTCACCCCCTGCTACGCCCTCTCTGAGCCTGTCTCGACCACTATGCGTGTCTGAGCCTGGCATTGTCTACCTACGGGCAACCGTCACCTGGCGACTACTGCCTGCTGCTTGCTCGACTATACTCAACCTCTCTTCCGCACTTGACTCTGTCTCAAACCCGGACACACCGTTTTCAACCTACACCTCCCTCTCCCTCTCCCTCTCCCCCGTTGCATACTTCACGTTTCGAAACACATGCGCTTGTCATGTTTACCCTACCCACATCACCACATGGCGCTGACAGTACGGCGTTGAAAAGGCCTTTCTCTACACCTAATTCTTCTTTCTCTTCCAACTCTCTTGAGCAGTCCCTTGCGACTTGCTCCAAATTACCCTCCATCTTACCTCCAGCTCCTCGTTGGCCTCGACGCGCGCGCTGTCCACCTCCCGCAACCCAGACGACACTTCCCGGATTCACTATGGTGCAGACTAGCTCGCGATCGTTTATGCCCATGCCCTCGTTCGGCGCTGTATTCGGGGGAGAACACCACAACAAGGGCCATGCAGACGGGAATGGCGTTAATCTAGTGCGGCCAGCAACAAGCCCAACCACATCCTCGAGCGCGCCATTCTCCTCGTTTCACATTCACACCGAAAGCCGGGAAAGCAACTCGACAACCTCGTCCGACAACTCGCCCACCACTACCATCTCAACCATGGATTCGTCGTCTGTGACCGACCCGTCTCCGGGCGTGTCGCCCGAGTCGCCTCTTGGAAGAACACTCGCCCCTTCGTCATGTGTCGCTGATTTCAGGTCAAGAAGGACAGAACAGCCGTCTGGAGACTCAAGTACATTTTTCGAGCTACAACGCCCAACAACGCCTGCGAAGAAACCACGGAATCTCAAAAACCTCGGCATCAACACGGCATCTTCTCTGAGCAACCTGCGAGCGCACACCCCGGCACCTATTGCGGTTGCGCCAAAAGAGAAGAATAGTTCGGCACCTCCATCACCACTGTTCATCAAACCGCCGACACCACCCAAGCGAAGACCATCCAATCTGAGCCTGACGATATCGACACCCGGCAGCACGGACAACAAGCCAGTACGACTCCTCATACCTTCAACCCCATCCTTCAACCGCCCGCCCCTCCGTCACTTCCAGTCATCCCCTTCCTTGCCGTTATGTTCACCAAGCGTAAACCCGTTCGGTGGTATGCAGTTGCCTCCGCGTCCTGTTGTGAACAAACCAACTGGTCTTGCCGAAGTCCCCTTTGAAATGGAAGAAGAGGAGGACCAGGAGCCAAACTTTGATGTCCCCCAATCACGCGAGGAAAAGCCAGCAGCATACCCCAACGGTCCCATCTGCATATACGAGGCCGGTGTATATCTCTACTTTGAGCCCACAGCTGTACAGGCTACGACTTTCGATGTCATTATCAACGTTGCAAGTGAAGTCAAAAATCCCTTCACTGCACCATCGGGAGAATCACAAAAGGACATCGATGCCAGACGCGTGGATGGCCCACCGGCGGAGAACATTGACTTTGCTACCCTTTCGCAGAGACCAAAGCAATCCTTTGGCATGGGCGATAACTCTCCAACGACACCCAAAGCCACGGCACCAGTCATGCAGACAATACAGCCACGAGAGGTTGTCATTGACGGCAAGACATACAAAACACCAGAGTACATCCATATGCCATGGGAGCATAACACCGATATCGTGCCTGACCTCCACAAGCTCGTGCGAATGATTGACGAGCGGGTACAGCAAGGGAAACGCGTACTCATTCATTGTCAGTGTGGTGTCAGTCGTTCTGCCAGTTTGATTGTCGCCTATGGTCTGTACAAAGATCCTCAAATGAGCGTGCAAGAAGCATACGACAAGGCGAAGAAGCGAAGCAAGTGGATTGGGCCCAACATGAACCTTATCATGCAGCTTCAAGAATTCCGCAACAGCTTGCTGAGGCAGAACGAGAGCCGCTCGTATCACAATCAGGGCTATGGTCGACGATCTGCTGGTCTTCCTTCAGGATCGAACAAGTACTCTTCGTATGATCGAGACGGTGGCTCAGGATCACGTACTCCGCGCACGGCACCGCTTCCTCCTGACTGCGACATGACCATGCAACGTGCTAGCACTGGAAACATGATTGCAATTTCTCCAGGTCCACTGTCTGCACCCACTGGTGCTTTCTCACCCGGTTTCCGCAGATCATGGGATTCTAGCCCATTGCATTTCGAACTCACATCTCAGCCGGCCCCGACCACCACACCATACGTCGATCCCAAGGGCCAAGTTGTCCCTATGGTCTCGGTGACTAGCAATGATGTGCCGACCATACATACTGAAGATATCTCCAGTGGCGAAGCACAACCACAGTCACCCGACGATGTCCAACCCCCCTCATTCCCCAACTTTTCCCGTCAACTTCGATTACGACCCAACCTTGGCATCGACGAGGGTGCCTCATCTAGAACGGAAGAAAGGCTTTTGGCTCCTATGCAACCATCTAGCTTTGAACCCTTGAGGTCTCCTGCTGTCGCAAGTTTCAACATACCCACTTTCCCATCTTACGATACAGCAGACTCCGGGATCATGTCTCCAATCAAAACATCATTTGACAACTCTTGGCCAGCAGGCTATGATCTGGATAACGAGGAACCTGATTCTGCTCCACAGGCAATGGATGGCGTAATCCCAGGAATTTCACCACGCAGCTCCAAGCTTGACATGTCTAAAGCTATGCAGGACGATGCCAATGAATCTTACGGTCCCTTGTCATCACATGGTACTTCATTCCATCTTGGTCAACCGGCACCTTTCAAGGACCACTACGACAATGACGACGCAAAATCTGCAGAAATCGCTTCCCCAGTGAAGACTCAGTTCTCCGATGATGTCTTTACTAGCACTAACGATCGTTTGGAGGAAGAGTCAAAGTCACCACGTGCTACCGAATTCCACATGACTCCGTTGAAGCCCAGGTTAGGAGACGAGGATCCCTTTGGCTTGACTTCACCAACTAGAGCGGATTTCAATCCTTTCGATAGGCCGAGCAGTATTGCCACTATCAAAGCCCTTGAAACGGAAGATCGGAGACCCTCATTCCAGGCCATCCTACCGCCTGCCCATCAAACTTTTAATGGCTTCGCATCCCTGGATGGTACAGCACAAACGAATACTATTTTCGAATCTTCAGTCCCGCTGAATATGTCCGCATCGAAGCAATTCCAGTTGGCCGGACCTCGAGTAGACAGTCACAGCAATTCACCGGCGAAGCAAGTCCTAAACCGCGGCGGTGCGCATACAACGACCCCATTTGCGCTCCCTAAAGCACCAGCCACCCCTCGGACCCCGAGCGAAACCTTCCTCTCTACTCCCGGAAAAGCCATTCGAACAAGGTTTTCATCTCCAAACATGAACGAGCAACGGAAATTACAGAAGCTGCAAACCGAGATCGAATCGAAACTGCCAAGGGCAGCGGTTCCTCGACATGCTGCAGACGACATTGACGCTCTCATGTCACCCCGTGCAGAAGAATTCACTAGGAACCCCTTCCGCTTTGAACTGCAGAGCCCTGGTGAAGACGCAAGCCCGGTTTCATCAAACGGGACGATCAAGGATGGCCGAAACGGCCATACTGCATGGGAAGACCCGAT